TGTTATTCAACAATACATATCAAAGATTTTCGATATACAACATACATATATTCAATGATTTCATCATGTTCTTAGAGCTATCACATTCACAAAAGGTGATTGGTGGAACACCATAAACACATTAATATCTTACGTGAAAACCAGAAGAGTCTGCATCAAATGCAACAGACAAACCAATAATAAACTAAGAAGCGAACTTTTGGATGGTGGCAATTGAAGCAAAAACACGGCAGAACCATTTTGAGGGGGTAAAAACAAATTTGACATAAAAACAATAGCATCAGTATATTGCAAATTAAATTTGATAATGAAACAGGATGCACACATTATAGTGGTTACGCGTGACAGCTCGAAAGTCATCAACGGATTATTCCTATAACGACAGCAAAGCTTTTCATAGATTCACAGATTCACAGCAGGCTTGCTGTGATATAGCCTCTCACAAGGCGTCTCATAATATAGGTACAGGTGTACACTTATATTGTGGATAAGTGCCAAGCCAGCTCCCAACAGTGTGACACATGACATACGTGTGTTCCAACACCCAGCGCACAAAATAAAGCACGGTTAGCACATTCACAGACAACGCATGTCTGCACGCACGTCAGACTACCGCTTACTTCATCCGTGCCAAGCTGTAGCCAAAATACACTCGCACATTGACCACATTCAATGACTGCATGCCGCTATAATAGTGACAGACACAATTCTTTACAAGTGATCGATAATTGTATGACGCCATATCTATGGTGTGTACCGTGATACGACAGTGTGGACACAATCCGGCTCTCTTTGCTTTTTTAATTTGTGATTATCGACGCAGTTGTGGAATTGTATCAACTGTGTCCTGATCTTTCAATGGATGGCAGAGGCAATTTCGCACTATCGATGGTACCGATTCATTGACACATACCAGACAGCTACTTTCAAAAAGTGTCGAAAGGGTATGCTGACTTTGTTCTGTCTGCGACACACATTACTGAGCATTACCAGTTTGGAGCCAGCTACCGCGGGGTCATTTAAGAATAAAACATTAGCAACGATATTGTTATTTCAGTTTGAAACGATGAAAATTGCACAATTTCTTTCGTCCATATCCGCTTTCAAAGATGCAGGTTACACGGTGTTTAGCTCAACGACTAATGAGGACACCGGTATTGAAGGGTCTACGAATAATTTTCTTTGCACGGAAAACGCAATGAATTTTAAGCAACAACACTTGGTCAAACAAATGACCAAACGCAACACATACATTAACTTCTGTAGCATATCATAAATTACGTTGGCGTCTGTATGTACGGGGTGCGAGGGCTGATGTACCCCCCCCCCCCCCTGGTCATACGGGCTAGCCAGTGGTGCTTCTGCAATCACTTTGCTCTAACTATCAATGCAGTGAAAGATACACGGGAAACTAAACGACGAACATATTTCACACAGCGCACCGACCATCGTCACTCTGAAACTTCCCAGTTCATACACGGTGTTTCACTAAATGTGTCAAAAAAGCATTCGATTATAAATGTCAAATGTGCAATGTGTCTGATGTGAACACCTGGTCCCAGCAGCATGTAAGATAGGTACGCTGCAAATCTCCAACCCTCCCTGCCTATGGATACTCTCAACTGGATGTCGTGGGATGCACTCGCCTCAAACCCATCAATCCCGTCAACGCGAAGCGGTTTGAAGAGGAATTCGTCGTTGTCAAGGGCAACCACCTCCCACTCCTCCTCAAAATGAACATGATCGAAGTCTGCCATGAAAACATTGCAGCAATCAAGACAGAGCCTCTCACCATGGAGATGATCAAGAACGAAAGAGGTCGTCACGGGTCTCGGGAACTTGGGTAAACTCAACCTGGAGGTGCATCAATCCATAACACCTCAAATCATGCCACCCAGCCTAGTGTCCCTGGTCATGAACCCTCATGGAAGAACTGGAAAGACTGGGAAAACAAGACATTATACGTAAGGTCACGGAACCAACTGACTGGATGTCAGCTCTATTTATCGCCAGGAAGGCCTCCAGAGGGCCCCCGAGTATGTCTCGATCCAGTGCACCTGAATCAAGCGCTGAAGCGAGCACACCATCCCCTGCCAGTCATTGAGGACATCCTGTCGGAGCTCGCTGATGCGAAAGTGTTCTCTCGTGCCGACCTGAAGAATGGCTTACTACAATTGCGTCTCTCGCAATCGCCCCAACTGCTGACAACATTCCAGACACCCTGGGGGCGATACTGCTGGAAGCGCCTCCCATTTGGCGTTTCGCCAGCTCCAGAATGCTTTCAACAGCTTCTGGATCAGCAACTTCAAGGTCTACCTGGAATAGCCGAGTGGCAGACGATCTGCTCGTGGAGGGACGTGAATCAGACAGAAAGGCCGCTGAGCAAGGTCATGACAACAACATGCTGACTCTACTGACAAAGCTGGAGATCAGAAATATCAAACTCAACCTGACAAAGCTGGAGCTTAAAAAATACACGACTCCCTAGTCCCTTCAACGGACACGTCCTGTCGGGTTAGGGACTGAAGCCAGCTCCAGACAAGATTGACACAGTCGAGCAGATGCCACAACCTGAAGACGAAGGAGGTGTCAGCCGGTCCCTGGGCATGGCAAACCATCTGGCAAAGTTCTGCCCGCAGCTGTCAGCCGAGTCTTCGACCTCTTCGACAGATGCTCAACCAGGAAACCTTGAAGTGGACTCACCGACAAGATGAAGCGTTGGAGAAGGTGAAACGGTTGGTCGCCCATGCACCAGTTCTGCAGTTCTTCGACCCCAAGGCGACTCTGGAGGGTCCAGCCGACGCTTCCTCGCAGGGCCTGGGTTTCTGCCTGATGCAGAATGGCCAGCTACTCTCGTTCGCCAGTCGAGCACTGACTTCTTCCGAGAAGAACTACGCGCAAATCGAAAAGGAGCTACTGCGCCTCGTGTTCGGTCTCGAGCGTCTTCATCAGTACACGTTCGGGCGCCGAGTCGTCCTGTGGACAGGCCACCGACCTCTGGTCGCCATCACGCGGAAACCGCTGACGAGCGCCCCCAAGCGTCTCCAGCGTCTACTTCTGCGTCTTCTGTGTTACCACGTCGACATCCGATACCAGCAGGGAACTACCATGTACCTGGCCGACACTTCCTTCCAACCGCAGCCCGAACGCGCACCGAGGAATAAGCGGGTATCCTGCGTATTGTGGACTTCACTGCGATCTCGCAGCCACAGCTTCGGGAAATCGCAGAACACACGGAAGATGATCCGACGAGTGCGACTCTCAGGGATCTCATTCAACGTGGCTGGCCTGAGAAGTCCCACAGGTCCGCCGAGGCACTGCCTTACTTTAACATCAGGGATGAGCTGTCAGTTGACAGTGGCATCATCTGGAGGGGTGAACGATGCGTCATACCACCGAATCTGCGAAAGAACATAAAAAGTAACTGCACCTGACACAAACGGGACGCAAAACAATGCTCTGCCGAGCCAGATCGGTCGTCTTCTGGCCGGTTTGTCAACTGAACAGAAAGAAGAGCTCTCACAGTGTGACGTCTGTATGACTCACCAAACCGACCAACTAAAGGAGTCCATGACGCGACCGAAACTCCCGACCGACCGTGGGAGAAGATCGCAGCTGATGTCTTCACGCTCCGGGGTTGAGACAACATGTGCGCTGTGAACTACTACAGCAGCTTCTTTGAAGTGGATGAGCTCCCCGGCAAAACAGCGGGAGATGTCATCACCGCCCTCCGACGTCACTTTGCACGTTACGTGATACTAGAGGTACTAGTCACGGACAATAATCCGTTTGGGTCGAAAGAATTCGACATATTCTCCAGGGACCTAGGCTTCAAAAGCGTCAGATCATCGGTCCGGTATCTGAAGGCGAACGGCAAGGCCGAGAACGCCGCCAAAACGGCAAAACGACTCCTGCAACGAACGTACGCCACGTACACCATTGCCAATGGGTATCGCGCTTCTGGAGTGGCGGAACGTGCCCTTGGATGACTGCCAGGCCTCTTCTGCCCAGCAGGGCGTATTTTATCATGTTAACTGGGTCGGCTATTGCCGACCCAGTCACGGAGAATGCCGACGCAGTTACAGCCGTTTGCCGACCCAGTTGCCGCCCCCTCTAAGATGCAGCACGCACATGCAGGCTAGGCGCTGTCCTTCATAGTGAGGCTGCTGCCCTTCAAAATAATAATGCCGTCCCTTAAAGTGAAGCAGCCTTCCATAAAAAGTGATGATACCCGTCAGAGAGGCACTAGCCGTGGTGACCTCCCTACCCGAAGAAGACCGGGAGCACGTCCACGCAGTCCGTCTGCTAACCGACCCCAAGTCCAGCCTGCAACAGCTCCAGCGGGGACCGGCCGGCCAGGTGACCGCCATGGCCGCCGACATCTGGAAAAGCCAGCACACTCTCAGCGAGCGGAGCACCACCGTCACCTTCCAGTGGGTGCCAGGACATGCGGGCCTGGACGGGAACGAGCACGCCGACCAGCTGGCTGGAGAAGCGGCCGCTGCGGAACAGCCAGATGTCCCGATTGACTTCGCTAGCGCTAGAAGCACGATCGGGCGCCGGATAGGAACGATGGTCGACGCGAGAACAAGAGCGTCCCACCCTCACCCGGCGCCCACACCAAGCCACAACGACCTGTCCCGCTGGGAGGCGTGCACCCTCTCCCAGCTGCGGACGGGCGCGTCGCCGCTCACGCGGGACGTCGCTCACCGCCTAGGCCTGGCGGCGGACGCAGCCTGTCCTGCGTGCGGCGAGCTGGACAGCGCGGCCCACCTGTTGACCGACTGTCCGGCCTACGAAGCTGCGCATCGCCGCCGCTGGGGACTCGACCCGAGCATGGGGGATGTCCTCGGCGGACCGGCGACGTTGGTGATGGGTCAACCCTCCGGTTGACCCGCCTGCGACACCGTCCTCCTAGGGGGGCGGCGGGTGAGGTGCAGAAAAAGAAGAAGGACGCGTGCTGGTTGAGGTCGCAGCGTGACAGAGTAACGCACATCAACATGTCCGAGTTGGATGCGGCCATTAAGGGGCTGAATCTGGTGATTTCGTGGGGTGTGCGCACGGTGACATTTTGTACTGACTCGGCAGCGGTGGCATCCTCGATCCGAGACGCGGTGAGCGGCCGGGCGCGGCTGCGGTCGAAGGCTCGGGGCGAGCTGCTCATCCGCATGCGCCTGGGGATCGTCGCCCAGCTGGTGGAGGGGTTTGGGCTGACGCTGGACGTCAAACTGGTGACGTCGGCAGATAACATGGCGGACGCGCTCACACGAATGCCACGTCATTGGCTTGGTGAGCTCACTCCTGCGTCTCCGACCGCTGTGCGCAGAGCAACTCCGTCGCTGGCGGCGGCACGGCTCACGCTTGGCAGTGCTCGATTTGAGAAAGGCCTACATGCAGCTCCCGCTGGACAGACGGCTTTGACCATACCACACCGTACGAGTGCGCGGTCAGCTTTACTGCCTGGGGCGCATGTCCTAGGGCCTGAATGTGGCTCCAAACATCATGAGATCTGCGGTGCGGACTATACTTGAGCAGAACGAGGCGGTCAGCCGGGGAGTTCTCCCGTACGTTGACGACCTTCTTGTGAATGAGGACGTCATCTCCGCAGGGCAGGTTGCAGAACACTTCTCCCGGTACGGCCTTGTCTGCAAGCCATCGCAGCGCCCAGCTGACGGCGCTCGAATGCTGGGGCTGCAGGTAAGCTGCTCGCGCTCGGGAGAGCTGCAGTGGCGCCGCGAGAACACCGTCAGCGCACCGCCGGAGGTGATCACGCAGGGCGCTGTTTGTGTGGTGCGGCCAGCTGGTCTCCCACCTCCCAGTGGCCGGCTGGCTGCGTCCAGCAGCGGCCTGGCTAAAGAGACGGGCTAATGCTCTCAGTCAGGGCTGGGATGACCCCACCAATGACCAGAATCTGCGTGCCCAAGTCAGCCAAGTCGCTGAAAGGGTGGCCTTCAATGGCCCGGCCCGTGAACCCTGGAGGCTGACGGGTGAGAAGCTGACCGTCTGGACAGACGCCACCAGCCTCGCCTCGGGTGTCGTCCTGGAGGACCCGGGAGGCGGCGTGGTGGAGGACGGGAGCTGGCTGCGGCCGGAGGCAATAGCAGCCATGCATATAAAAATGGCTGAGCTGGACGCGGCGCTCAGCGGCGTCAACATGGCGATCGCGTGGGGTATCAAAGACATCGATCTCCGCACGGACTCAGCGACTGTACATAAGTGGGTCAGTGACGCGCTGAGCGGCCGTTCGCGCCTCCGGACAAAAGCTCACGCCGAGGTGCTGATTCGCCGGCGGGTGGACATCATTCGGGAGCTGGTGACTGAGTTCCAGTTGACAATCACGATCGAGCTCGTCAAAACGGATGAAAACCCGGCGAACGTGATGACTCGCGTGCCAAAAGAATGGCTTCGAGCCTGCAGGGCAGAGGAAGAAGCAGGAGCGATTACGTGTGCAGCGCCGGTGGCGGCCGCAGTGGTGACGGACGGAGAGCCCACGCCTCCCGACACGGCAGCTATGATTCGAGCTGTCCACGAGAACATTGGACACCAAGGTGTGAGGCGTACGCTATGGTATTTGCGGCGTGACGGTGAGCAGTGGGCCACTAAGCCAGCAGTGCGCGCAGTGATTCGGACGTGTGACGTGTGCCAGTCAATTGACCCGGCACCGACCCGCTGGCGACACGAGTCACTGGGCGTTCAACTGACCTGGGAGCGTCTCGCCATCGACGTCACACACTACCGTGGCGATCACTATCTGACCGTGGTCGACTGTGGTCCGTCCCGCTATGGAATATGGCGGCGACTGCGCCGGTCAGACGCAGCCGAGATCACTGCTCATCTCGAAACCGTCTTCCTGGAGCACGGGGCGCCGGCAGAACTGCTTCTGGATAACGCCACTGAGTTCCGCGGTCGCCGCATGGGAGCGTTCGCGGCGAGGTGGGGCGTGACCCTGTGGTTCAGGGAGGTGCACGAGGCAGGCGGGAACGGCATCGCGGAGCGTCATCACCGGACGATCAAAGTGATGTCAGCCCGCAAAGGATGTACCATCGCGGAATCACTTCACCGCTACAACATGACGCCCCGAGATGGCTCGCAGCCTGAGAGCACTCCCGCCGCCGGCGTGTTCCGTCGCGTCGGGCGTGACCTGCCGGTGACCGGCGCTGGCGGACACGATGACCGGCCGCCGCCGGTTATCCCGGCAGACTCTGAGCGGGGAACCGGCTTTAGGGAGGGCGACCTGGTGTGGGTGCGGCGCCGCGGGCCTGCGACTCGCGACTACACCCGTGTTGAGTTTTGTCATTTTAGTCCGCATAAATTTATTAGCGTAGATGTCAACGTCCCCAAACTGCGTCCGAAGCCTACAATCATCTCAGCTCGTTCGCTCAACCGTGTTGATGTCACTGCCCTTAATTCTGATCTGGAGCTTGTCGACTGGGAGCCTGTGTTTACCGCCGCGACTGTTAGTGATCAGTGGGATGCATTCGTGTCCAATTTTTTGCCTATTATCGACGACCACGCCCCACTCAAGCGCATTACCATTCGGAACCCCACAGCGCCCCCGGCCTCAGCTGCCACACGGAACCTTATGTCCCAGCGCCGCGCCTCGCTACGACTGTCCGGTCGTCAGTCGACAGCTTACAAGGAGCTGAATCGCTCTGTTCGGGCCGCGCTGCGCCGCGACCGGCGAGAGGAGCTACAGAGAATTATCTGCGAGCGGGGTCCCAATAAGGTCTGGCAGTCTATCAGGACAGTTGTAGCAGGGAAAAAGGACGGTCCTAGTTTGCAGCCTAATTTATCCGCCGATGAACTGAATTCATTTTTCGTCTCTGTCGGACCTCGCATCGCTGCGGAGGTCCGGTCTCTTAACACCGCTACCGATCTGAACGTTCGCCTCCCCCGGGTCGGTGCATGTCGTTTTCAGCTCCGCGCGGTCACTCTCGGCGAACTCGGTCACACTATCTTCGGCATGCGCAACTCAGGCGCCAGTGGGACTGATGGCATTTGCATCCGAATGTTAAAGTCCGGCTTCTCAGCTATTGGTCGCGTCATACTTTACATTATCAATACGTGTATTACCAACTCCGATATCCCCGATTCCTGGAAACATTCCACAGTCCACCCCATCTTCAAATCTGGCAGCCCCTCGGATCCCATCAACTTTCGACCAATCTCATTAGTCCCCGTGATTATGAAGGTTGTGGAACGCCTTGTACATCAACAGCTTTACCACTACCTCTCAAATAACTATCTCCTTGCCTCCTCGCAGCATGGTTTTCGCCCCCGACACTCCACAGAGACCGCTCTGCTGTCCGTCACAGACCAAATCCTCGCAGCCTCTGATAGGGGAGAACTTTCACTGTTGTGTCTCCTTGACTTAAGCAAATGCTTTGATGTCATCGACCACGAACTTTTACTTCAAAAACTGGCTATGCACGGGATCGAGACCTCTTGGTTTTCTGCTTTTCTCACGGGACACACCCAGAGCGTGTCCCTATCTAATGGCGCCGGAGGTAGAGTACTGTCGCGGCCGCTTCCAAATAATATGGGCGTCTTCCAAGGATCTGCCCTGGGACCGTTACTCTTCACCATATTTTCGAACAACCTCTCGCTATACGCAGGTGACGCCACCGTTTTCCAATATGCGGACGACACCCAGGTTCTAGTGAGCGGCCGTGCCGACGACCTCAGATCGCTTATCTCTCGCATGGAAGCTTCACTCGCATCAATCAGTGACTGGCTCTGTCTTCACGTTCTCAAGCTAAACGCAAACAAAACACAACTCATGGTTTTTGGCAGCAGACAAAATTTACGGAAAGTACCCGACTTCAGCGTCTCTCTTCGTGACTCTGTGTTGCAGCCATGCGAGCAGGTGGGGAATCTGGGTGTTGTCTTTCACAGCGCCCTGTCCTGGGAAGCACATGTGTCCGAGCTTAGTCGTCGGTGTACTGGCTTGTTGATCGGACTGTCTCACGCACGAAATTGTCTCCCTGACGGTGTCATTAAAGTTCTCGTTACATCTCTCGTCATATCACGAATCAACTACTGCCTCACTGTGTACGGTAACGGGACTCAGAAAAATTTTGACCGACTCCAGAAAATTTTGAACTTTGCCGCTAGAGTGATCTTCGGACGGCGTAAGTTTGACCACGTCTCGGACCTGCGCGACAGACTTGGCTGGCTATCACCAAAATCCATGTCAGATTACCTGACACTCACGATCGAGCAAAAGGTCATTAAGCATGAAGAGCCCGAGAACCTCTCTGCACTGTTCGTCCCAAATCAAAATTTTCGAGACCGGCACACACGGCAGGATCATCTCCTTCATCTTCCCCGACCGAGGCTTGAAACCGGAAAACGGCGTTTTGAGTACCGCGCCGCGGCGCTGTTAAATAGCCTCCCACCCCAGGTAGTGCAGCTGCCACCTGCCAGCTTCGCCCGGTCTGCCAGGGCCGCGCTGATTAACAAATCCCCGCTACGCCGCTGACGAGTCTGTTTAGTAGCAGACAAGGCATGCCGCCAATAGGTGGACGATCTGTTTGTGCTTATGTATATATATTGTTTGCCTTATGTACAGATGTAGATGATTATTGTCGCGACCCCCATCGATGGATGACTGTCGTCTAGTGCTGAGTGTTCTTCCCCCTGCCCGCATGATTGTTACCCATTATACTCGGATCTAAGCCGTAATCGCCACGCCATTTGTGGAAGGCTTTTGGTGTCAATACATACATACAGACTCGCTGCACTGATGTTTCTAGGCCTGGCACCGTCACAAGCATCGTGACCGACCAGCTTATCGAAGCTGTCGGTGCTCCGTGGCACGTTAGGTACGTGCGCCACCGGCACACGGGACAGCCGACGGCGGCCAATCCCCCGATCGAGGACGACAGTGAGCCGGCTATGTCGCTCGGTGCGTCAGAGCATTCATCGGCGGTCGGTCTGTAGAGGTGGAGCTGCCGCAGCCGACCTCTATTGAGCCACCGGCTCAGAACAGTACTGAACCGCGACGTAGCGCGAGAGTGGGGGCTCCGCCAGAACGCTTCGGGGTAGTAGTACCGAATAATATCGGCTAACTGCTATAATGTATTTCGTCTTTCGTGTTGATGGTGTCGTATTTCGTGTCTTAAGTGTCTGATGTAGTGCATTGTGTCAAATTGCGTGTGTACGTGGATATGTGTGATCTTAACCTTCCAGGCGGTGGGGGGCATTTTTTTGCCCCCCTTTAGTTTTTTTCGATATATCTCGAGAACCGCTGCGCCGATCGTCACCAAACTTTCAGTACCCTCCCGGGAGCAGCTAGCGCACATGGTGACCAAAAATTTTTCCAAAGGCTATGATAGGTTGGCCGCTAATGACGTCAGAGTGACGTCATTTTTGCCATTTTCGACCCAAAAAAAGGTTTCGCGGGAAGAGCTGTCAGGCCTACAGCTTTAGAGATATAGAAAAATGTGTCAGACATAAAAGGTGTGAAATTAAAAGGGCTACAAAACTGCTATTTCGGTATTTCGATTTTTTTGGATTTTGACCCTCAAAAATAAAAAAATAGATTTTTTGAATATAATAGCCAAAAAATCCAAAAAGTTTTTTGAATTTCGAAAAAACCGGAATATATGTGATAGCCCCTACCGCCTTCTATCTACATACCAAATTTGAGATCGATACCTCTTTTTTTGGCCAAGTTATAGCGAAAAAACTGTTCAAAATTGATGACGTCAAATTTTCAAACTCAATTTTTAGCAATTCTAGACCTCGTAGCGCAAAACAAAGACCACCATTAGACTCCCCGTGACGAGCTGCATCGAATTGATACCCATTTTATGCAAAAATATCAACTTTGAAATTTGACCTTTTTTGACCTGACCTTGACCTGACCTCCACCAGAAAGTGACCTAAACCGTACCTGATGGTCTTATAACCAACACCATTGAGTTGGAAATGAAAAACTGGCCATAAAACATGCATCGCATAACCTTAGTAAAGTTGGGCTCATGTGGTGACCCTTGATGACCTTTGGTGACCTGACCTGTGACCTGACCTGGTATGACCAGTGACCTCTAATAGCAACATATGTACTAGACAACTGACGCCTTATCGCTGATTTTCGACAAAATGCGTTTTACTCGGTGTGTTATAACGCTTTCCCTAGAAGCCCCGTGAACGGTGAGACATTTTATCTTTGACCTGACCTGTGACGTCATCGGTGACCCCGAGGTCAATGAAATTTGGTTTCCCTCGACAAATTTGACAGGGCTATCGAACGCCGTTTGAATTTTCCGGATCCGTCCAGTAGTTTCGGAGATACGGGGGGGGGGGCAAAAAATGCCCCCCCCCACCGCGCGGAAGGTGGCTGGTAGGCCCACCGCCTGCCGGGTTAAAGATCAGGGGACGTGTAGTTTATAGTTATGTGTAGCTCTGTGTGACCGGCTGAGACGCCGCGTGGCCCAGACGCGCCTGGAGGACGCCGTCTAGCCGACACTGACAAATGTGTCCAGGGGGATGTCCTGTTACATATGTGGCGACGGGGGCGCCGAGTCGCGGTGGCAGCGGCGCCGAGTCGCGCGAGAGGGTTGGCAGTGTGATTGGTACGGTCGCAGGAGAAGCACCGAATACATTCTTCAACAGGAATCTAGTGTGGTGGCCGGGCATCAACCGTGAGGGAGGTGGAGGAGCTGTGCCAAAGTTGCGACCGCTGCCAACGCAGCGACGCAGCCCTTCCCCAGAGCGCACGCGGCCCGCGCCCATGCAGCCAGTCGACCTGCCGGACTGCCTGGTGGAAACTGGGAATGGATATCGTTGGGCCAATCAACGGAGCATCAGCGCCCGCCCATTACGCCATCACTCTGATCGACTACAGAAGTAAATGGGCAGAAATCTGTCTGACGTCATCAACTGAGAGTGAAGACGTCATCAAGTTCATGTCAACAGTGTGGATCGGAGAGGGCTATCCCGACGAGACAGTGACGGACAATGGGCCCCAGTTCACGAGCACTGCGTAGCGCGTACCTGGCCGCCCGAGGGGTGAAGCACACCAAATCGTCCGTCTTCTGGCCGAGAGGCAACTCCACCGTGGAGTGTTTCAAAAAGACGTTCAATTCGTGGATCACAAACCGTCCACCAGCAGCGCTCATCGACGAGGTACGCAAGCAAGAGTCTGGCGGTGTACCGAGACACTCCATACACGAAAACTGGAAAAAGGAGACGTGAAAAGAGAAAGAGGAAAGTAGAAAGAACAACTGGAGACGACCGCCTGGCGTCTCGTGTTCGACGTTCAGATACGCACTGAAAGTATGCATCAGGAGAAAGGGTGCCACATAAGATGGTTAAGTTAAAGTGGTGTTCATACAGAGAAGTAAATATCCAACAATTCTGAATGAAGCAATGCTCAAATGTCCTAATGAAACATTGTTTATATCTTCATTGTAGTGTTCATACTTCGTTAGTTGTTCATTACCTAAAGGCCTGAAACATGTGAACCCCCTTTAAGAGCCCAAGTGTCACCATATTGTTATGTTGTTATGTTATGTCGTTGTTATATTGTCTCTGTATTCTCTAGTGTATTTGAAATGCCGCAGCTCTTAAACGGGTCATGTGACCACGGCCGACCCCGCGGTGGCGCGGTGGGCGGCGGTCTGCTGTTATAAATGTCATCACTCTAGTATGCCTGAAATGCCGCGACTCTAGTCGGGTCACGCGACCGCAACTGACCTCAGAGTCGCGCGGCGGGCGGCGGGCAGTCGCGCGCTGGGTGTCCAGCCGTCAGGGTTAACCGAGCCTCGGGGTACCGAGCTGGGTGAAGCCCTGCCTTCCTGCCTTGGGACGCCAAGCAGGGTGAGTGTGCCCCGCCCCAAGGAAGAGCGTCGGACGCTACTCACATACACACCCACCCACCCACCCACCCACACACACTCCTAGGGTCGCGGCAAACGTTTTGAGCTGGTTTTGTTGCCTGTATTGTTGAGCTCGTACCCATATTTTCTTGTTTTCGTTACGTCATTTTTGGCATTGTACTTTGCCCCAAATACAAAGGGCTTTGATTTGGTCCCAAATTCTTTCTCGCGGCTTTGGGTCCGGACAAGCGAACATAACAATATGTTTGAATGTCTGTGAACCGGGCAGAAAAAATAAACAGTTCTACCACCACCGGACCAACTACGTGTGTGTTATCGAGAGATAAGCGGTCATTAATCATTAAATAGTAATTGCAGAATACTACATTGACGACGAGGATCAGCTGTCTCCATCGCCACCACTTGAACCGACGAGCACCAGGCTCTTCCCGTACGGAGCTTCTGAACCCCTGCCAATCATGGGTGCGTTCACCGCTCCAGTGTCGCATGGATCGGCTACAGTGGACTCAAATTCTTCGTCGTAGCTGGTTCGCACGGATCGCTGCTCAGCTTCAACACGACGAAGGATCTTGGACTCCTGGATATTATACAGGAAATCAACAGCTCGCCTACCGACACAATCCTGATCGACAACTTGCTGAAGACATACAAGGTCATACAAGGTCACAGAAGGCATCGGCAAGCTGAAGGACCATCAAGTGGAACACCACATCGACCCAGCCGTGAAACCCGTCGCGCAACCACACCGGCGCATACCGTTCCACACACGAAAAGCTCTGGAGAAGGAACTCGAAGTACTCCAGCAGCAGGACATAATCGAACCTGTCACAGGCCCGACACCATGGGTTTCTCCGGTTGTCTGCATCCCGAAACCAAAGGACCCGACAGCCATACGCGTGTGTGTGGACATGCGACGTGCCAACACGGCCATCCAGCGACAACGCCACCTAACTCCAACCGTGGACGAAATCATCCACGACCTGAACGGAGCAAAAGTGTTCAGCAAGATCGACCTGCGTTCCGGTTATCACCAGCTAGAACTGAAACCGGAGAGCAGATCAATCACCACCTTCTCAATGCACAAAGGCCTGTACCGATACAAGCGCCTCAATTTTGGTGTTTGTTCTGCCAGCGAAGTGTTCCAGAACACGATCCAACAAACCCTCAGTGACATCCAAGGAGTCCGCAACTTCTCCGATGACATAATCGTCTTCGGCGAAAACCAAGCAGCACATGACGCCGCGTTGACAAAAGTGATTCAACGACTCCACGAGAAGGGACTGACGATCAATCTGGAAAAGTGTGTCTTCAACCAGACTAAGTTGGCCTTCTACGGCCACATCTTCTCATCGGCGGTCCTGAGAGAAAAGGTATGGTTTCCATTTATAGATCAGCAGGTGGAAGTTGTCATCAAAGCATGCACCACATGTCAGGCCACAAAACCGACGCATCAGAAAGAGCCACTGCAGATGTCGCCGCTCCCGAGCAGACCGTGGACGGAGCTGTCTGCTGACTTCTGCGGACCGTTCCCATCAGGGGATTACCTGCTAGTTGTCATCGACGACTACACGAGATACCCAATCGTTCGTACCACAACATCAACATCGGCTCGTGCTGTAATTCCCATCCTTGATGACATCTTCTCGATGTTCGGGATTCCTGATGTCATGAGAACGGACAACGGACCTCCGTTCAACGGACACGAGTTCGCTCAGTTTGCAGCCTACGTTCAAACACCGCAAGATCACTCCGTTCTGGCCAAGAGCCAACGGTGAAGCTGAGCGATTCATGTGTACCATCGGAAAAGTGGTAAAAGCAGCAGTGATCGAGCAACGACCCATCACACAGGAAATAAGCAAGTTCCTTCGCAAGTACCGGGCAACCCCGAGCTCTACAACGCACAAGAGTCCAGCAGAACTCCTGTTTGGACGCCCCATCAAGACGCTGCTGCCATCTTCGATGACTCCTCCTCCTGACGACCACGCCACCCGCGGGGCTGACCTCGCAGCGAAGAGGAAGATGCAGAAAAATGCAGACTAAAGAGGGGAGACCAAGAAGCTGGAAGTCGGAAACTTAGTTCTGGTCCCGGCTGAGAAGAAGGGGAAACTCACCTCTCGATTCGTTCCCGTTCCCTACCGTCTACCGATTGATCGCAGTCAAGGGAAGCATGATCACGGCTTCACACAAGAACCATTCTGTGACCAGAAATGCCTCTGTTCTGAAACCGTGCCCATATCTTCTTCAAACAGAGCAAACCCAAGAAGAAGACCCCGACGAAGGTGAAGAACAGACCATGGATAAAGTACTAGACGAAATGCGTAGAGCAGCTACTCATGCAGAAGCAGTACCGGCCCAGCGATACTCAGCTCGGTCAGTGACCCCACCCAGAGGTAGACCGAGACGCATTCGGGAGAAGCTCAAATGGCAGAAAGACTTTCTGATGGACTGATATCCCTCTAAGAAGAAGAAGAGGGATGTAGTGTTCATACTTCGTTAGTTGTTCATTACCTAAAGGACTGAAACATGTGAACCCCCCTTAAAGAGCCCAAGTGTCACCCTATGTTTAAATGTCTGTGAGCCGAGCAGAAAAATAAACAGTTCTACCACCACCGGACCAACCACGTGTGTGTTATCGAGAGATAAGCGGTCATTAATCATTAAATAGTAATTGCAGAATACTAAATTCATTAGAGCGTTTTACTTTTTGACACATCTAGTGAAACACCCTGTATGCAGGAAAAAAATGAACAATAAGAAGTCTAGAAGAGCTTTCGTTTTTACATGCGAAATAGGATGCTTTTTAAACAATGTTCGATGTTGCAGCATTTACTTCTCATTCTTAAAGCAGCTTCGTAGCAGCCACTGTGCCGAATATTCCGGACTAGACTGTATAATCATCCACCATCGCGATAGCGCAGTTACAAAAATATGACACGCTCGTAGCAGTTCTTGGGAAGTGTGATGACGAACGTAGCTTTCATAAAGCAGGCGAGATATAATAGACCCGAGAAAAGCCGATATTGCAGGACTGTTGCTAGCATACGTTGAACACATACCGATCCGAGTTGAACCGATGCAACATCGACTCTTGGGCGGGACTGCTGAGGTGATAGGGCGCGCAGGAAACACTTAGAACATCTTCTTCTTCGTGGCAGTATACCTCTCCATGTACTGAAACAAAAGAAAAAATAGGTGAAAGTGTGACTCAAAGTGCAGCGGCCGGTCAGCAAACGAGTTAAGTCGCATGGGCCAGTAATGCCGTATCGAATTGGAATTTTCAATGGGACACTAAATGCAAGGTTTTTGTGCATGTAAGCTCGAGACGGCCAAGGAAGCGGCGCGAAAGGGATGGTATCATGTCCTTACATCAGAGGTTTTGTGAATACGATGACACATCCCCCCCCCCCCATACACACACACAGGTAAGACCCAGCTGAAGCGATAAGCCACGTGCCCGCGCGCTCGTGGCGGAGGAACCAGCCTGGGCCGGACAGGACCGTACGCCGGCAGCCGGACGTGATCGGGATGCTGAGCACGTCTGCTGTGCGGAAGTGACGCGCCCAAATTACAGCGCAGAGGAGTGGACTTTGGCGCCGATAACGCACACCTCTGGAGCCGCGTCACGCGGCATGAGGGCACTGATTAGACCGCCTGCACGCCGCCCACGGCCAGTGGCCTAACCACCCCACCAGAAAGTTGCGCATGGTCAGGCAGCTCTGAATTTCCACCGCACTGAGATGTGATTGGCTCCACATCCGGTAACGCCTCCAGAGAACAATGAGCCGGTGACAAGTCCTGTGCAAATAATGTCAGAGGTGGTCACTGAAGTCACGCGGCGAGTGGGCCCACTGCGTGTGCGGTGGGCCCACTCACATCCCAGTGCGGTGGAAATCCAGAGCTGTCTGATCATGTGCTACGGACTGGTGGGGCGGTTAGGTCACTGGTCCGTGGGCGGCGTGACGGCGGTCTAATCAGTGCCATCATGCTCCTCTGACTCTGACGCACTGGGCTACTGGTGCAATGCGTGGCCACGATTAGTACATCTGTATCTGTAGGGGTATCGCAACACATAGCTGAGCTGGTGTGAGATACGATCCCCTTTACATAGCAACAAATAGCAGCAGAGTTCCACTAAGGTAATGACACCCACGCGAAAAAATAGACGAACACAACTTCCAAAAGTGAAAATGATCACAGTGTCCAGTGGCCAGCACTAATAAGCGGCATGCCGGAAAGTTATCAAGTACAGGGTGTCCCATAAGTTCGTTCTCACCTAAATTTTACGTTTAGAGGCTCTCCTGCTTAAAGGCACGCTAAAATTGGTTCGTAACTGAACTTGTGTGGTTGCCAAGGCTGGTAACAATATGCGCCACAGTAACTAATTTCTCTAGACAAAATAGTTTTTGCTAGAAAGTCCACTTCCTGCAGAGGTGGCTAACGCCGCAACATAGAGGTCTCCGATACGGGTACGTCTCGGTATTTAGTCAGCACATGACCATTCGTGACGATTGAGGGTGATTGAAGCCCACCAGTCTGTAGCCAATGTCTGTCGCTAACTGTACGCGCAGTCAACAAGTGACGCCGATGATTTGTCGGGAGTCAATCACTGCAAGTTTATCCTCTTTCCAGTCAGGCCTCAGGAGTGAGCCATGTGGCCAAAACTGTCTGGCGTCAAAGTGGCCATCAAAAAGGTTAAAACGTTTGAAAGTTGATAAGCTGACTTTTCAGGATAGATTATCAGCTGTCTAAGAATATTTTTCGGGGTACATAACTCAGGGTGACTTAAGCTTTAGACTTACCGGAGGACTAAAAACAGTCGAAAATGTCTTAAAATGGCTAAACATGTGTTTCGTTATGCCTGAGGCTAAAAAATTGGAGGGCCGATGACATCAATGTGGTCGTCTGGACTACCTAGTCCATGTTCGAGATGAAACACTCGTCCAAATCTTAAAACAGCCCCATAAAGGCGAAAGAGAAGGCCTTCGTTTTGTCCCGCTTTTTTCCTGTGCAAAAGGCCAAGATCACGGTATTGTGGGGTTATAGGCGTCCAGACGCTGACCAGGATGCGGTTGGTACTCCAAAAACAGTTTTGGGACGCAGAATGCTTCTCCAAGAAGATCTGGAAGGAATCTCAGCGTTCTAGCTTAACTCAAACCGCAAATATGAACACATTTTTGGAGGAGAAAATGGCATCCGGGAGGTCGTAGACCCATCTTCAAGCGAGACACTGCATCGGTGAGCAGGTCAAGGAAAGCTCAAAAGCGGTGCCAGGAGAGTGTGACAGGCGTCTGTCGCAAGATCACATGTCAGGCAACTTATCAGATCCAAATTTCATGAAAATACGTTGGGGATACTGAAATCGTGGCTTGTCGAAGCGAAGCGCTGTTCCAGCCTCCAGGAGCTCACGGCGAATGGTAAGTCAGTCTGGGCTAACTTCGAGCCTGCTATGCTGCCAAACATGCCGGCTGGCATACCGCAGCATGTATTCATGTGTTTGCCCATGAACTGAGGAGCACATTGACGGGTCATAAATATATTAAAACGCAATGTACTCTGTTTTACATGCAAATATAAGGTGAGAACGAACTTATGGGACACCCTGTATAGTGCAGCGTAGCAGATTCCTCAGGACCAACGGTGCATGTTTTGTAGACCTATTCAGTTTCGATATAAAGACCACACCAGGCCAGCACCGAACTATGGACTAGACCAGCTACGCGCTGGATATGCTCCTCCAGGTTATGTGGGCGCCACTGGCGCCACTGGGTGGTGACTGGTGTCCGTCACCACCAAACCGCCCACTGCATTGATGGCGTCACCACCAAACCACCCACTGATGGCGTCACCACCAAACCACCCACTGATGGCGTCACACCAAACCTTCCCAACTACCGACGGGACATTGCTCATCGTGATATTTGATTCATTTCGATAATCATTTTTGTCTTAAACTCTTAGTTAGGATACGCTGTAGTTGCCACAAGGAATGATCTAGACATAGTGATTTCACCATTGGTTGAGTGTAAAGCGCTTACATAGGAAGATATGAATCACAAAGAAATAACACGAACAACTTCGTAATTGTTGGGGGCATTACTCAGGGCAGGAAGAACAGAATAGGATAGGCAAAGCGCACGGAACCAGGACAAAAATATCCATCACAAGTTTGACTTATCTGACGACAATCATACGCCACATAAAGCAGCATTTTTCACGGTTCTGGGACACTGCATTCCAATGTGCATAAATCACATGATACGAATGCGGTTCACCGATGCGGCGGCCCCTCAAAGGCAAGACGTACCCTCAGCATGCCCATGGACCAATATCGAGTGATTGCGGAATCGCTAACAGCGCAGTGGGCTCAATCCGTGCGGTTAGCCAAGGCTGCACAGAAATGTCCAGTACAAAGTGAGCTAGCTTCAACTTTACCCATCGGCGGACCACGGACGGAGCACTGCACTGAGGCGAAATTATTGGACATCGCGAATTCAAAATATTAGCCAAAGCCAAAGCGCGCAACGACATGCTGGCGCAACTCGGACGAATCGTAGGTATCTAACTATGCAGATAAAACTGTAATCTTGGATAAAACTGGTCAACCGATTTGCTCTGGGAGCCCGTACCGGCCGTGCCTTACCCCCCCCCCCCCCCCCATGACTCGGGGTTTCTGCAGAACAACTCCTGCAGAACAACCGGACCGGTTCCGAGCTGGGACCAGCTGCAGCGGTACTGGACGGCTATCCTACACAGACCAGCGACCGGCTACTGACCGGGGTCCGGCGACCAGCACTGACCGGCGGAAGCCACTGAACGGTGACCGCTCACTGACTGGTGACAGCCGAGTACCGCCTGTCGACGGCTCTATCGTGGCCGTGGCTGACGACAAGTCAACAGCGGCACAAATAACGACAGCTGGGTAGAATAATACCACGCAGCTGTAATAGCCGATAGCAGGAGAAACGCATCAGCGAGAGACGGCTGGGCAAAGCACAATCAAAAATTGACTAGACTAATGATTACCCAGTTCTCAGACCGTCATACTAGGTAGACATTTCAATAAGATTTACTACTGCCTCTGAGTTAGGCCCTATTGAGACTATTTCGACATCGCGGAATGAGAGGATAAGGGGGGATTGGGCTGATTTCATTGAATAAACCAGCCGTCGCAGCGGCGGAAGTCCAGTATTCCACGCCCCAGTGACGCACCCGGACTATAACCGAACCGAACCGGACCGGCGCGGCGCCCTGCCGTCTAACTCGGAGAGCTCGGCGGAACACAGATGACGTCACCGACCGACTGTGACGTCACCGGCGCCACGTCACCGGGCGCCGAGGGACGTCCGGTACACACCTTTCCGATTTCCGCGCAGACAAATCAGTGCTTAGAATCTGCCGTGGAGTGATGGCTTCTAGGACGGCACCGATTTGGATGATATCAGACGCCCACGTAGGAGTGAGTCCATAACCAGTGACCAACAGCAGGCTGCGTTCTGTGGTGTCGCTTAATATGATGTCATCTGAGGACAAGCCATGATTCGATGGCGGTGGCGTTATCATAAGCAGTTTGTCATTGCTATGCAACAATTTCCATCAGTGTCGCCAATTCGCAACTATGGGTCACTGCTGGCCGACCGTTGTCGACCGACCTAGTTATAGCTAAAGGTGTCGGCCGCTTCGTTAGAACGGCAGAGAGACAATGCAGATGGGGAGAATGGTTTCATAATATGCCCCAAAACAAAAAAAGAGTGTAAAAATATCGTTACTTGCTTCAAACTAGGATTGAAAAATCTAGTTAAAATTCAAAAAAAACATTATTATATGAAGCTCATTAGTCATCACTGCCCTGGATAGCTAAAAAAAGGAACGTTAATAATAATCCCACCAATCCGCCGATGGCTCCATAATACCACGGATCACCTAACGGATTGGCAACTCTCCCCGCTTCCCATTGTTATTGGTGTACCCGCGGAGCGGGCTGCCATCTAGCGGCGCGGATATCTTCACTAAGGAGGGAAGCCGGCCGCCCGCCGCAACCAGTGTTAAAAGGCACGGGGAAACGGGTGTGAACGCAACACCCGTCCGTCGTTTCCATCCTCAGGATGTTCAGATCAAGTTCAAATCCTTCTTCTCCACGCAGCAGCTCTCGATCCGGGCTGGACAGGCAACTTTATCTCATGCGGGCTGCTCCCTTGTAGCGCACCACTGCTCTCAAGGGAGCACACCCGGAGCCGGGTGCAGAGAGTGGGTCGGCCTGTCCATTCGAACGGGCTCAGCCCCGGTGACTCTCTAGGGTGCCTGTCCAGACCAATGTTTCCCCCAATTCCTATGATCCTTCCGGCTCTGCAATGGTCTCCATTGACCGAAAGGGCCTAACCCAACAAAACAAAAACAAACAAAGGTTGTGAACGGATTAAATTACAGAGTCTCTCTAACAGCTGGAATGTTACCATAGCATGGAAATGTTACATACTTTATTCCCTAATCAGCTGGAGCATGCATAATGATCCAAATGTTTCTAGCTATGCTTCAGTTGTATGAGCAAGAAGCACGTCCTCGCAACTTTAACGTCGTTTTTGGCCGTGCACGAAGACCTTTCCTCATCCGTCTGCCCATAGTACGAGTTCATCCCCTGTTCCTATCTAGACGGTCACCGGCTACCAGTTGGAGTAGATAACATCGGAGCAAATCCAACGAGCTGGCCATTAACGTGACTATAGGTGGATCTCGGCCCCTGTTTCACGATACGACCCTTCCCGCCGCTACAAGGTATCGACACTTAGCGGGTTTCCATAAAGACGTTGGTAACATTGTGAAGTTTGCTTACGTTTCCATAGGAACGGAGGCACCCATACCTGATGATGTGAATTGTGAGGTACTGGGTAGCAGCGTGCCGCTAAACAGTGACTATAGCTTTGGCCCCGAGGCTGGTTTAGGCACGTGTTACATCTCAAGATATATGTGGCTTAGAGCCAGGTTAGGTCATTTTGCACCCAATATATTGCCTCATACTCAATACTCAATACTCTCTCTATATCTATATATAATAATATATATAATACTAATAATAAGTCAATAAGAGAAAATTGAAAGTCGTCTCATTTGGTCTGGGCGGGTCATTCTTAACACCCTCAAACATCGGGTTACTTGTAAACAGTGACATGAAAACGGTCACCACTTCACCAGCAGATTTTTTTACTATAACTTGATAGAGACGTGCTAGAGCGGTGAAGACACGTCAGATGTGTTCAGCTCGTGCTCGACGATACGGATCGACTGATATGCAGTCGAAAGTCGACCTGACCTTTTCCGGTCAGGTCATGACCTTGACCTGACGTAAAATTTTCAAAATGACCTTTCAAGGTCAACCTATAGTTTATTCGACGCGTCTTCGACGCGAGATGAATATTTATCAAAAATATACTCATGAAATATATGTAAGAGATGACAACGATCGGAAAATTACCAATTTCGCAATGGACGCTAGGTCGCCCACGTGGGTATGAAAACAACGATTTTCATGACAAAGGATACAATCTCAAATACTTAACCTGTCTCTAACGATTCTTGCCATTCTCATTTATACCATAGATATCTTCTGAGCTAGCTGAGAAACCACGTTCCGCAGAAAAATCACTTAATTAGCTCCGACACGACGCCCTCAACACGCACGAGGCCGGCCGCGTCCTTAGTGAAGATAGTTCACCTAAATGCCCACCAGGTGGCAGGGGAGACAGGTCGCGGGGGGGAGTTGCCGATCCGTTACGTGATCCGTGATAATACCGATATATCACTACCTTTCTGAATAACACGGGATGTTGATGCCAGAGGATACGATCTGCCGACTGCTCAGTGCTCAGTGCTCATACGCACCAGTGTTGGGCCGTGACCGTTATTCTTACGGTAAAACCTTGTGGTTTGTCTCCGCTGGAGGAGCAGCGGGCAAGTGCGACCAGAATCTCAGAGATGTGGTTTCCACATCGCGTATGACGCACCATCCGCATAACTCCGCACGTGATTTTGACACAGCATCACGTAATCTCAAGGCTATCAAATGACACATAAAAAAGCACGTCCATAATGATAAAAAATGTGCGCATGTACATATGGGTACGATGACAATGTTACAATCAACAACAGTTCTCAGTAGTAGGTCCACGGTTACAAGACTTTCCGTGAGGTGACAATGCCCCAGCTAACTATCAGTCACCGGCGGATAGTCATCCGCCCTTCCAGTCCACGGAGTCTTCCACTCCTTCGGTTCACGGGAGTCCTCCACCCCTTCAGTCCAAGAGAGTCGGTACCGACAGCCAGTCGTCCAGCTAACACCGGTCATTCAATTACTGCCATCGTTCAATGCTCGCGTCTACGTGGGCGGCAGCGCTGAGTCGCCCGTGACTGCCATCGCCGGTGACTCGCTCTGGAGCCGGGCTGACCCCCCCCCCCCCCCAACCATGTATACCGTCCCACGCGGCATGACAATGACATGTATTGTACAGAGCCAGTCAGCGTTTCCGCTGTATCCATTGTATCGTCGGCGGTACAATACCTGGCCTCCGCCGGTTAAATGCGGCACGGCGAACCGGGCCCCTAATTGCCGGTAAGCGGTTCGGCACTGGGTTAAACCGACTGGCGGGATTACCAACGGCAATGAATCCCTGAACTGAACCAATAGTTCCAGGGGAAATCCCTCTCCTCCCCAAGCGCTTTGCTCTACACCATCGGAACTAAATCAAGTCTATAAACTCGGCGTGTTGTGGCCTTCGGTACTTTTATTTCTGAGATTCTGTTCATTTTTACACAGTTTTTTTTTTTGTCTTCCAGCACATGCCTTATTTTTGGAAGGAATATGGCATGTTTCGTAGAGTTTCAACACAAAACTTTTGATGGATCTGGTCTAGTGACTTGGGTTCTCAATAAAATTTGATTTATTACGATATCTTCCAATCTTTCACTGATCGGGAAAAAGTCGCATCATTTGGGGCTGTCAGGCCACATGACGCAACACATCCGGGAAGAGGGCTGCAGCAAAACGTGCGGCGGAACACGAGGAAAGCCACGAGCACACTGGTGCCCTGTCCGCAGGGTTCCCCACGCCACACAGGCGAGGGCACCAATCCGTGCCAGAAACACGATGTCGGCAGAAATATAGGACAGGAAATAAGGGAGAAAATATGTTTTTTTTCGATTATTTCTACACCTCGCAATACTTACAACACGGATTAGGTACCGCTTCATCCATGCTTACACAAAGGTCTGATTTAGAGGAAAAGTTATGTTACAATATACCGGGAAAATAAGAAGATGAGGCCTCAAACGGACAGCTGGTGGGGTGTAACTTTTAGGTTCAAGGTGGTCTGTAATTAGCCAACCAAAACATCAGGAAAGTGTCTTTGATTTGTCGATTAACATGATATTGCATTTATTACAAATAGGCTTCCACGAAGCCGGTTTTCAAAGGTAAATGTGCAATGTCTCTCCCTTTTCATATTATTTGGCTTCATCTTACGTAAACATTAATTGTATATTGTGTAATGAAGCTTTCCTCCAATCTCAGCTGGGACGCTATCACAGCCTCCCGACTCCGGGGGCTTTGGTGGTGGTGGTGGTGATGGGGGGGGGGGGGGGCGGTATCGGCGCGGCCGGTTCGGCAGAGCAGCGGGAACAGACAGCTGCAGCTGACCGGACTGTGCCCACAGAGGGAGCGAGGGAGGGAGCGATGGAGGGAAAGAGAAAGACAAAGAGAAAGAGAAAGATACAGAGAGAGGGAGAGAGGGAGACAGAGAGAGAGAGAGGGGAGAGATAGGAGAGAGAGGAGAGAGAGAGGAGAGAGAGAGAGAGAGAGAGAGAGAGAGAGAGAGAGAGAGAGAGGGGGGGGGGCGGGCCGCCTGGCAGCGGTCCGGCGGTCCCGGAACCCCACTCTGTCCAGAGGCAGTGAGATGAGGCTGACTGGTAGATACATCCCGAGAGGGGATTTGGGTGGGCTAACTGCCCGTGGGGTGACACTGCTTCAGTCATCGTGAGACACATACCAGCAATGATCAGCGGGAACTAGTTCCGCCCCCCCCCCCCCCAGACGTCAGCCCCGCTCCCTCCCGACCGCCAGCCGACGAAACTACGCACTCTCCCGGCCCCAGAGGGCACCCGCCACCCTCACACGCCCACCAAAGGTCGTCAGCAGCCGCTGCTCTCAGCCCGTGCTCACCTTCTCGTAGCCGTCCAGCTCGGCGAGCTGCTTCACCTCGAACACGTTACCGTCGAGCGCCAGCAGCGAGACGTGAGAGTCGGCCAGCAGCCGCGCGGGAAACTCGTCCAGCGACAGACAGTTGCTCTCCAGACGGAGGATCTTCAGCCGCTCGCAGTCGGCTAGCTCCGCGGAGACGCGGTTTATCTGAAACCAAAGATATGACTTCGTTGAATAGGTATCCGGGCTTTGCTGGTATAATAGCCTTTTTTTGTATGGATTCAATGCAAGAACAAAGCTGTGGCACATACAGATATGGACGATATGGTAGGAATGCATACCAAGTAACAGGCTCGATCAATGCTAAATATCTATATGAAGTTGAAAAAGAATGTTGTGATGTTGAAAGAATAGCAAAAATGACGCAATGTACGACAGCGACATCCATAGAAAGTCAAACAATCGTAGACATTCATGCAAAATGTACTAGGGTTGACTATTAAATAATGGAAGTGCCCCTAGCAATGATAGGTTTTTGTACATGCACGCGTTTCTTTCATGTCATCACATACACCAATGTTTTTTCTTTCCAATGGTGAAGACCCGATGTCTTTAGCTTCATTCCGCTCTGAGCTATCACCGTTTTTCCAAGAGACCACCTAAACCTGTGGCGCACCATAAACAAGGATCCTGGAAATGGACAAAAGCGCGTGCCAGCGCCGCGCGAGGTCCTCTGAGGTCAGTTTATGGTAGAAATAAGTTCTGCCAAGATAGGACATTTCTTTTGGAAGTGTGTGGAGCGACTGTAGCCTCTCTACAGACGATATAATGGTGGTGTCATCGATTTCAAAAGGGGCAGGGTGCCGACATCGTGGACAGGCAGCGTCCGGGAACACCCAAGAGAGTGCACATGGCGAATGCGCGAGCCCAAGTGGGGAAAATGATCGTAGGCGATAGTCATATGCATAGCCAGTAGACATATGCGATATGACAATGAGATATGAGCCAGTGAGATATGGCAATGAGCTGCTGAGCTCTGATAACCTGGCGATGTCGCACGATTTTGGTCATTGAGCGACTCCTTTTTATGGTGCGCCACAGGTTTAGGTGGTCTCTTGGAAAAACGGTGATAGCTCAGAGCAGAATGTAGCTAAAGACGTCTGGTCTTCACCAGTGGAAAGAAAAAACATCGGCGCATGTGTTGGCACTATAAAATTGCATGCACGTGCAAAAACCTATCAATGCTAAGGGCACTTCCATTATTTAATAGTCAACCCTAGTATGTAAAAACCAATGTATTCCATGTATACACTTTAGCAGACACTCCACAGCAGAGTGGCTATTACGTGTCCATTGTCAATCAATAAAACGGTTGGGGGAGTCAAAATGGTACAAGGCACAACATAGCAATCGTCTGGCGCAGCAACACACCCACACCCACACATACACACACTAATAACACCAAACCCACGCACACTCACTCCAAATAAAAGATACGTTTTGCCACCTGCTTAAAAGCCGATGGCTCGAGCCGTGTCACATCATTAGGTAAAGAGTTTAAAAGCGATGCAGGTCGGTAGGCAAAACCTCGCCGCCCGGCCGCTGTTCTGGTGGCTGGCGGACGCAGGTCCCGGTCCTGTCTGGTAGAACGATCGCACTGTCGTGCATCAGCGAATGAAACGAACAGTGAGGCGAGCTCCTCGGGCTCACCCAGGGCACGCACTCTGTGCGCCACAATCGCAGTCTGCGCGTCACACATCTGGCGCGGTGTGTGCAGGCCCAGGTCGCCCCGCGCGCGAGACACATGATCGTATCTGCGGAGACCGGCTAGTACTCTGGTGGCAAAGTTCACAACCTTTAACAGTCTTAAGTCGTTAGCCGCGGAGCCGTTCCCGTATACAGACAGACAATATCTCACGCGCGAGACGACCAGCCCCTGCACGACTGCAAGGAGCGTCCGCCGCGGGAGGAGGCTCCTCAGGTGGCGGAGACCGATCAGGAGGCCGACACATCTGCGCACCACGTCACTGACATGGGCATCCCACGTAAGGTGGCGGTCAAAAATGACACCCAGGTTTTTAACATGTGGGCTCTCCCGAACGGTTCCGCCACCGACCCGTACGCTGACAGGAGGGAGATCTCTGGTATTCTGTCGGGTGCCAAGGAGGAGGATTTCCGTTTTGGATGTGTTGAGTTAAGTCCGTGGGCATGGAACCACGATGCCAAGGAGGTAAGGGTAGACTCCATGCGTTGGATAAGGTTAGGAGGTTTTGTTTGGTATCGGAGATAAGGATTTGGGTATCGTCAGCGTACTGGGTCACATGAGCGCCCGGCGCGTGCAGACTGAGGTCGTTGGCAAAAATGGTGAATAACAGAGGACCGAGGGCTGATCCTTGGAAGACTCCCATGGTGTTAGGAAGGGGCTTCGAAACCACTCTGCTGCCGGAAGGAGAAGAGATGCAGACAGACTGAGTATGGCCGGTAAGGTAGGAGGAAAACCAGGTCGGGTGGATACCATTGAGCTGGACCTTGGAAATTAGCAGTGAGTGCGGAATGACGTCAAAGCATTTACTGAGGTCCAGAAGGCAGAGGAGGGAGATGAGACCACGGTCCATGTTGGAAAAAGTGCGGTTGGTTACAGAGAGCAGAGCGGTTTTGGAGGTGTGGAGAGAACGGAAACCGTGTTGGGATGAAGAAAGGAGGTGATTGTCACATATGTAGGCGGAAGGTTGTCGGTGCACTAAGCGCTCGACAACTTTGGCTATGGTTGGGACGATCGAAATAGGACGGTAGTTGGAGATCAGATCAGGATCACCGGACTTGAAAATGGGATGGACAAGGGAGTGCTTCCAAGAATCGGGATAGTCACACAAGGAAAGACAGGCATTGACTACATGGAGCAGGATAGGGCCGATGGCTTCGAAAGAAAGGAGCAGGATACGAATACAGACGCCATCAGGACCACACGCACCGGAACGCTTCATGGACCACACGCACCACTGCATTTATGTGAGGTACCATCGCAGATGCCGCCGGTACCGCCGCACAGATTCCATGCCATTCCAATGTGTTTATTGCTAAACGAGCACAACGCAGCAAAATGACCGATAAATGAACATGAGTGACAAATGTACACCAGCGTGTTTGGATCTCAGCTAGAATAAGACTTGACCTAAAAAAGTTGGGAAATTCACGCAGAATTTCGTGTCATAAAACGCTAAGTGTGTTACTCATTGTGACTCGTTGTGAATGAATAAGTTTCAAGTTTCAAGTTTACTTTTTTTCTAAAACAAGTGAAAAATGAATACGTCCCAGTATGTATGCTTTTGTGGTGCGCACTGCACACCTGTGTGGTATAAACTAGTGGTGTCAATCTGAACTTGAAACTTCGGAATTCCGATTTTGTCCAATGTCCAATTCGGAATTCGGTTGGACATAGACAGCAGGCTTTGGACATCTTTGGACAATCGCTTGCTACACCTCAACATTTTTATTAATTAATCATGTTTAACATTGATTTGCTATTAAAAAGCTCTGCTTTCGATATGATTAACACTTTTGAGCTGGTAACGGTACATTAAAAGCAAATTAAATATCAGTGTTGAGCGTAAACTATTACTTAGGTGTCGGACATCTTTGGACAAATGGCTGGCTTGGGCATTTTGGACGGACAGTCGACGTAAGTGTTGGACATTGGACAGATATTGGACACACGTTTTCTGAAATTGACACCACTAGTATAAACTATGTATATGCCGAGAAAAGACAGCAATGCGGGGTGTGTGGCCTGGCCTACCAGCCGGCGCACTGGCCGGCTGTGGCGCACCTGGTTGTCGTTGAGGTTGAGCTCGGAGCAGCGCAGTGCCGCCGCCGAGGCCGGCACGCTCGTTATGAGGTTGCTGGAGAGGTCCAGCACGTCCAACTGCGGCAGCGACAGCAGACAGCCGGGCACCTCCGACAGCTGGTTGTGACTGAAACCGTGACAGGTTGTCGGTAACGTCAGACTGAGTACCTACTGAACGCCACATCTGCGGTGACAGACACAGTGAAACACGTGGTTCGTTCACCAACATCTGTGGGTGCCGAGATACAAGTAGGGGAGAGCGGGGCCAGTTGAAACACGGGGTCAGAAGAAACATGGCTTTATTTTCAACAGTATGCAGCATATGGCGTTGCCGACACCACTGCGCATCCGCGCTCGACCACTTCCTTTGTCAACGGCGTTTGGGCGGCAAACGGACGGTAATTTCGATTTGACACTTGTTTTTGTGTTTTTGAAGGGCGTTTGGGAGAAATCGTTCTTATGAATATTTTGTGATATCTCATATACCTTTGTTTGCTGAAAGAAGAACTCCTGACTCCGGAATAACACCTTATTTGGCCCTTCATTCAGCATGATGCCGTCCCTCCAGCTCGTTTGACATGTGCTTTACGGCGCGTGCGAGATGGCGGGAGCGGATGGGGTTAATTGGAACGCTTCTCTGAGGTTCAGTTGAAACAGGGCCACAGGCCGTTTCAATGGACCCCGGTGACCTTTGCAATGGTTATTGTTCAGGGGCTGTAAACACTAAAGGAAATAGTCCACCTTTGAAATGAGCTTTTAAACTGAAATAGTAGTTTAATAGAGCTCAATTTTTGACCCCTTTTTCTCCAGCCTTTTGCTCTAAAGCACACTATAGGCTGAGATATTTCTCATTTTTCTCATCCGCCCATTTTACCATAGTCTATGTACTTTATGTCACCTATTATGAGGAACTTTGCGCTTTTAGCTTTCCAACGACCTATTGAATGTAGCATTTGGAAAAGTAAACCGGGCAAAATATCTCCTTAAGAAAGTGGCCTTAAAGAGGAAAACATCCCATTGTTAAGGATAGGTGCAATTGACCCCATGGGCTGGTTCAATTGACCCTCGCATCGGGGTCATTTGAAACGGGCGTAGAGCTGTTTTATAAGCATGCGTTTGGCAGCAAAATATGTTTGAAACATAATTTTACATATCTTAAAATAAAGCCAAAAGAGCATATTTTTTCATGGCATTGTGCATTTTTCGATAGGACAACTAGATCTCGCTGTGCATGTCAATATATAAAAAGTGGTTCAACTGGCCCCGCTCTCCCCTACTTGCTTCTTGCAAATACTTGCAAAAGCAGGTGCTTGCTTCCTAACAAGAATGACTCATGAAACATGACTCGTCCGATTACTTCGCAGCATATCATACCAGATTAACGCTTTTTGGGGCGACTAACGGAGCGAGCGAGAGGGTGGGTCTTGCACGTGCGAAATTGCGAGGGGGTACCTCAAACTGACTTGTGCACGGCACCCTACTAACCGGTCTCTAGCGATGTGCCAAATTTGAGCACAATCGGCCCAGCCGTTCTCGAGATCTGGAAGCGGCACCCTGCACGTGCGCACGTGCAAAATGGGTCCCGACTGACCTTTGCACGGCACCCTACTAACCGGTCCCTAACTGTGTACCAAATTTGAGCGCAACCGGTCGAGCCGTTCTCGAGATCTGGAAACGACCCCTGCACGTGCGCACGTGCAGCAGCACCCCAACTCTGGCACATGGATATGCAGTGCCTAGTGGGTGCCTACCTACATGCCAACTTTCAGCGCAATCGGCCGAGTAGTTACCGAGATATTGCAACAATTACAAAAACTGACACCTCTTCGTTTTGCACGTGGCACGTGCATAAGGGGTCACCCACATGCATCGGGAAAAGTCCAATACTTGGTAGAAGGAATGAAGCTACCCTACAAAATTTACCGCATGTAAATTGGTCAAGTGGTTGCTGAGATATAAGCCTCGCAAAAGCGTCCGCACGGCCGGCCGGCCGCTCATACTCAGAAATTTCCGTTAATCTAAGGAAAGACTACGCTCGCTTCGCTCGCTCCGTAAAAACGAAAGTTTGTTTATACGTTTGTTGTTTGTTATACGTCCGTGGCTGATTATACGAGGCACCTTTCAGCGACTGCTTTCACCTGGGTTCAGCATGACGTGTGTTACCGTATATCAACGCAGACACCGACCCGAACCTGTGCGAACCACGAGGCTGAGTTCGCAGCATGGCCAGTGGCCAGGGTTCCAAAGACAAGAATACTGATGCCATTAACGATTTAACTTTCGTCCTTTTATGTTGGTTGCGGGGTGAAACTGATCACACTTGTAATTGTTCTGGCCGTCACCATTCCTTCAAAACACATGTCATAGTACGCACCTGAGGTTGACTGTTTTCAGATTTTTCAGTGCGCTGAGCACGTCCGGCAGCTTGGTGATCTTGTTGTACGACATCAGCAATGTTTCCAGCTTGGTCAAAGCTCCCAGGGTGTCGGGCAGTTGAGCTGCAAACACGCAAAGAACGACATGAATGAAGCACACTAAACAAGCTCGACCAATAGCTCCGTTGGTAAAGCGCTCAACACGCGGTGGCGAGAGCACGAGCACGAGAACCTCCACCGTTCGACCTCAGAGACCCCTGGCGGAGAGGACCTGCGGTTGGCTGATCACAAACAGCCAGCGGGTCAGGCGGACCGCGTCCCACCGTGTGGGGTCCCCACTCCCAATATTTGGCATCTTAACTCCATCCCCCACACACAGATTGGTTCTGCTTACATTTTGTTGATATGTGCGTTAACCCGCGCCCCGCTGGGCTATTCAGCCATACGCGCCCTGCTGGGGGGGGGGGGGGGCAGATTCTGCCCCCCCTGTCTAACTTCCGAACCGATGGTCGTAGAAAGACGGGGAAAACGGCAATCGAAAGCTCTCAACAAGGCGGATCTAAAGAGCCCAAATTTTTTTGCTTAAGTAGGTCAGAGGTCAGGTCAAGGTCAGGTCAAGGGTACAAAATGCAAGTTTCTACAGTATCGGCCTTGCACCGTAGTTGCCGAAGAATGGACTGAGACTGATTGCCCAAAACGTGTTCTTAGACTACCAAGACAATATTCGTTGCATACAATGCCATTCTAAGGTCAAGGTCAAGGTCAGGTCAGGTCAGGTCAGGTCACCAAAAACAAAATATAGAAAAGGGCATGTGCGACACATGTTTTATGGGCCATTTTACTCATAGAATTCAATAGGCACACTCAATAAGTGATATGGACCACATCTGGATGAATTTCAGGTCGAGGTCAGGTCAAGGTCAGGTCGAGTGAGGTCAAATTTTGAAGTTGGTTGTTTAGGCCTAAAAAGGTGTCTATCTGATGCAGTTTTTCACGGCGAATCGAATGGTGCTATTTTTGTTTCCGTACGAGGTCTAGAACTTCCAAAAAAAATCATTTTTCAAAAATTTTGTGTGTCGTGACGTCATAAAATTTTTAATAACTCCCACATTTTTGAACCGATTCTTCTAAAAATTGGTATGTAGGTGCACATAGACCACTTCTCTGACATATATTCCGGTTTTTTCAATACACTCAAAATTTTGGATTTTATAATTATTTTCCCAAAAAAGTCAGTTTTTTTGAAGAAAAAAATTGGGCCAAAATCCAAAATTTTCAAAAAACGGAGATAGCCATTCGATACCACCCTTGTGGCGCAGTTGGCAAGTGCGTTCACGTTTGGTGTGGGAGGTCCTTGGATCAAAGCTGACCTCTGGCAGCGTTTTCCTCGACCGGCTCCCACCCAGGAGATGGCAGTAAGTAGTAACTGGGGAGTGTTCGCTCGGTCGTGGGGATTAACGCTGTGCCAACCAGCGCCCCCGGCCGCAGGTACACGGGCCTGATCCGCCTTTAAACAGATCCTTCGGTCCGGAGACATGTCCCGAGGGCACGGCCTCGCTTCATGTCCCGGAGCAGCCCTCTGACCTGCCGGGCCCGAGAAATCGGGATAGCCCCAGCGTGCGCACCAGTGCGGTGCCAACTGGGGCATGTGACAGGAAGCGTGCGGTCAAGGCTGTCCCGCGTAGCGGGTGCCGAAAACGATTCGTACCACTGCCGTGTATATAGTGTACTAACCCAGTATGAATGTGTGCTACTAACGACAAAAAAGCCCGAGTCGGGCACCAAAAATATTTAAAAGAAAAAAAAAAGAGATAGCCATTTGATAGACAAAGTAGAATCACGTATAACCTTTTTTTTTGTTACGTCTTGATTCCTTTAAAAATGAAGATGTTAGCGGCGTTTGAAATTTTGCCGTTTTTGAGGCGAAAATGGCGAACATGACGTCACTAAAACGTCAATTTCTCAAAAAATTTCCGACGGATTTCGCTCAAATTTTCAGGGAACGTGTCAAATTGATGTATGATAAGGTACTGAAAGTTTGACGTCGCTGGCGTAACGCGTTTAGAAGTTATTGGCGAAAAACGGGAGGGGGCAGATTCTGCCCCCCAGCGGGGCGCGGGTTAAATATCAGTCATAAGCATGACCAAAAGCTAGCCTTTGCAACTGATGTACCCTGGCAATGAAAATAGCACCACGATGGATGATACTCACTCAATTTGTTTTGAGAACAGTTCAGATGTTTCAGTTGTGGAAATGCCTGCATGCTACTCGGTAGAGAAGAGAGTTTGTTTTCCGAGAGATCCAAGGTGCGCAGACTGGCGGCCACCTTCAGAAGATCTGCGGGGACCTGGTGGCACACCAAAAGAGAATGACAGTACATTTTAACACAGCATATTTAGAATACGGCAGGTCATCAACGTCGCTCCAAAATTCAAAAGAAACTAGTTCAAGACACTGAACATCAAACAGCTTGATGAGTTAGATGACATCATAATCGTATCAGCTGATTGTATGACCTGGTGACCTGGTGATATTTTGTCTTAATGGGCACAATATACAAATAATCGCACTGAAACGTAAAACGATTAAACATTACCTCACTCAGTCCCCTCTTTGGAAGAGCGCACACTCCGGTCTTCTGAGCATTTTCTAAATGATGTTTGAGACTGTTTGCATTTCCCATTTTAATAACTCGTTTGGTGACTGAAAAAGATAAACAAACCAGCGTAATATGCAACAGCTTGTCTACCAAATAGGTAAACAGTGTTAACCCTCGCCGGCACAAGGGGGGGGGGTTGATGCAACCCCCCTAAGGTTTTTCGCGAATAACTCGCGTAAAAAGCGGCCGATCGCGACGAAACTTTCAGTACCCTCGCATTGATCAATTTCACACCTACCCTGAAAATTTCATGACCCTGACCCAAATGACCTTTGACCTGTGACCTACTTTCCGAGACCATGTTTGGCCGGAATCGCGATTCGGCGTATGTCGGCTCGCATTAGCCGCGCGTTTGCAAGCTTTTCGTGGTTTCAAACGTTCAAACGTGTGATTTGATGCTGCTCCCATGCATTAGGGTGGATGTCAAGGTCACCTGAAGGCATTAGCGTCGCCACGGGGGGGCAAGCGGGGCAGCTTGCCCCCCCCAACCTCGGACCGGGCGCCCCCTGAGATCGATACAGATCCGATGAGATTTTGGAGTCGGGAAAAAATGGGGGTACCTTTCTGAGAATGCCTGTGAGGTCAGACTCTGTTAGCGTGCAGTTGAGCGTGCAGTTCAAACCAAAGTCAGAGTCGCAGTCGCCAAAATCTTCAAGACTCCGACTCCAGACTCGGAAATGTCAATGCTATGATTCATTCCATGTTCCTAGTTGGTTCTTTATTACATTTTGTTGCTGATTTTCATAAGTTTCGGAGTGCTGACACATAATTTTCGTTCAAAGCGTGACACAAAATCTTCGGGGCCTTTCTCAACTCTCGTCAAATGTCTGCGACAGGCACAAGTACCGTTCAAGTGCCGCAGGGCTCATGAGCTTGCTTTTCACACAGACTCCTAAGGAGCTCCACTGAGCTCTAAGAAGCTTTCGTAGGGCCCAAACCGGCCTCTCAGAGTCCCACTGGTGTCCATGTTCTCTGAGGGCCCATACAAGGATCTTTGAGGGCCTTATACATACGTAGACCTCTGAAGGGCCACACGAATCTTTGAGGATGCCTTCGAAAATTTCTGAAAACCTCAACTGGCCTCTGATAGTTCAGCCGGACTTTTGAGGCGACAGACTTTACTAATCCCAACCCAGCATCTGAGGGGTCACAACTCACGTGTCCCTCTGAGGGCCGCAACACATGTTTCTTATGTCCCTACCTACGTAGGGTCCTTAAGGATTCGACACAGACCCCGACGGTTCACACTGTTATTCGAGGGCTCCAGGCTCACCCTGGGCCTAGTCTCTTAGCGCCCGCCGCCCACACTGGCTTCTGAGGGCTCGTGTGCCCTAAAGGGATTTTCGGGCCCACCTTAGGCTCGGAAAGCCCTAAAGCACCACATACACGTAAATATTTGGGGTGACCCACGCCGATCTCCGGGATCCTAAGCAGGCTTCTGAGAGTCCACACTGACCCTGAGTGGCCTGAAATGGCCTGGAAGTCGCAAGCCTATCTCTAAGGGATCCCTTGCCGCTATGCCATGCGTAACTTTTTTTGGTTCCGTTAAATATTTTTGGTCGCGTTTGCAGCGCTTCCCTTCGGCCTTCACTCGAAAAACCAGAAACTTTTTGTTCACACTGGAGTGAACAAAACACTTCATCTCACTGGAGCAAAGATGAATTACTTCCGATTCACACTTCCGACATTCACTCTCAGTCTCCGCCGAATGCCCAATTCATAGCTACAATCGGCGGCTGGGATAAGCACTATGCATTTCACGTAAAACCTCGGCATGCACGCGTGAATGGAGGTTTTAGCGGGGTGATCCGATTCAAATGGAGCGTTTTTCACCTTTTTCTGGGTAATGATCATGAGCGACGAGAGTCTGCACAGGGGCCCTCTGCAGTGCGTCGGCAATGGCAGTCACTGTAATTTTACCGGTCGTTTTTGTCCAGAAATTTCATTTTTTTTTTTGTAAAATAAAAATACATGCTATAGCTAGAAGGAAAACTTTGTCACCATCGGATTCCTCGCACCATTGCGCGTCGAATGATATGTAAAACGAGTGAGTAACGGCTGGGGAAAGACAAGATTTAACACAAAACTTGATTTTGCCCCCCCCCCAACCAAAAATGTCTGGCGACGCCTATGCCTGAAGGTCAGGTCAGGTCAGGTCAGGTCAGGTCATTGACCTTTGGTGACCTCGGTTCACTTTTTCGAGTTTTACATGTTTCTAAGCTGGTTTTTGGAGCTGATTTCGAATTTTACATCCATTTGAACATTTACGAAGTAGTTTTGGTGCCTTCGTAACATGTTACGAAGCTGTCAGAGGCGGTTGACACGTATTACGAATACCCGTCACGACCCCTACCGGTTGACCTGACCTGACCTGACCCGACCTGGTCTAAATGCTTAAAGACATCATCTCTGATCAAAACTAACACGACATTCGTGATCAGCACCTCGGAAAACCCCCATAGCAGCCACACTTAACGACTTTTTAACAGGTCCCGATTTTCCCGATTTTCGGGTCACTGACCTGACCTGGAAGGTCACCTTATGACCTAAGACCTTAAAATTGGATATCATCGGCTTCCTCTAGTGACGGGCAACACGCTCGTTTTTCCGCGAAGCTCTAGCTCGATCAGGGGCCAAACGCGAGGGGGGTCGTACCAACCCCCCCCCCCCCCCCTTGTGCCGTCGAAGGACGCAAAATGGCCTGTGCCGGCGAGGGTTAAGCGATCAATTATCTCTCATTTGCTTTTCAGAGAGAAACGAGTGGTAGGCATGCTTCTTCGTCATACAATAATCAGCTTCCCCAGACTCAGAACCATGCTTTCGGAACCTGAGCCATTGAAATAGGCTTGGAAAGGAAATAGGTACCTACCTACAGGGTGCGACAAAATATTATCCTATCAATCATGTTCAATGTTCATTGTAACTTGCCATATAAAAGGCACCGATTATTGTTAATGTTCAGTTTATTTCTCACTAGCAGCTTGTGCAGCACAGATGGTTTGATTTCTGGCCATGCCTGTTTAGGCTGTAACTGCAGGGCGCCGAGGCTGGCCGCCAGCTTCTGCTGGTCCAGGTCCTGCTGGACGATAGCCATAGCCCAAAGTTCCTCGATCAGCATTAGGTCCGGATGGTAGCTGGCTAAAACCTTCTTCCTTCAGAAGTCCGGCAGGTTCGATTCGCAACACCGCTGGGCCTTGGCAGAGCGATAAGCCGTCATGAATGAACACGCATGTCGACCTGTCATCGACCATGCGTCGACTCAGAACTGAGTCGCTGGAGGCTTTTGTAGTCAATGAGCCTCAGAGAGCTCTTCCAATAGTCTCACGGTCCTGTCTAGAGATGGGATAGCCCTTGCGTGTAAGCCCTTTGGCCAATTCTGTCACCAACTGGCCCCTCTTCCCGGCCGCCTTTTTCAATGCGATTTCTGTCATGGTCGACATGGGCCCTATTTCATGGCAAGACGCTAAAGCGCGCTATGCGTGTCTCGGCATTGGATTTCCACGGAAACATCAATATACTCGGACGCTCTCAATGTTGTAGCGTCAGAGTTTAGCGCAGCATAGCGTACCTAGCGCACTAAAGTGTCGTGCTGTGAAACAGGGCCATGGTGGGCGAATGCCTGATCTTCACATTTAGCAACTGTTATCCCTTAGGGCTGAAATTATTAGGAACTGGAGGTGTTGTTACAGACAGGTAAAGGACAAAACTTATGCTGGACTCTATATAACCCTGACTGAAGACTCGTTTGATAATTAGGTAACGAACAAAATCGTTAGAGATGTGCTTTTCTATTCAATAATAGCCTTCAGATGCTTTGTAAGAGTGCAAGTGCAGTTAACTTAAGCTGCCTGAGACATTATGGACTGGAAAATGATCTGGACAGTGGACATAGTTTAGGTTAGGTAAGGTTAGGTTAGGTTAGGTCAATAGCACTCACATATCACTCACACAACTTGTTTAAATTTTCGCGTGCATTCGACAACCGATCAGGAATAATTTGCCGCCCGTGCCGGAATCACCAGGATCATTCGGTGTTTTAGGCTGACACCATGCACAACAAACATGGCAACGAGTAAAGCAGCCATTCGTAAAGCAAGCAATACAAAAATGTGACTAATTGCACCAATTGTTCCTGCAATACCAAATAATTACCGATAGTCCCGGAAAATTATCCCTCATTTTCCGGATGTCGAACGCAAGGTTCATGTAACTCCAGAATGAATGTTGTGCTTATCGACACATCTCAACCGCAAGACGTGAGTTAGGGTGGATGTCCTTCAGTGCGATGATCGATTATCGTGACTCTGTACTGATGCGCACAATTCTACCTGGATCAGGGACCGCGGCGCCTGAAATCCCTGGTCTCGTACAGAGCCGATGTATCCCAGCGAACCACGCGAGCATCAACCGCCGGACAGCTAGAAACGTTCCGATGCCGCCTGGAAGCGACCAGGGCCCTGTTTCACCGGTGATAGCAGCACGCTGCTATTCCATTTCGCGAGCTGACGTCACACTTCTGGTAGTGTTGGAGAGATAGGCTTGTTGACGTCTCCATGTAAACCCAATTTGACACGTGTGATAGCAGCTTGATAGCAGCATGCTGCTATCACCGGTGAAACAGGGCCCAGGATGTGCGTGCCTGTCCGTGCTGTGCGCAACTGGAGCCGGCTGCATAACAATGTTCGCGGAAACGACAAAGTCAGTCATTTTAAAAAGCGTGTGACAGTGTCTCTAATGTCGGTGAAGTAGCCTGTCGGCGATGTGCGACTGCCACCCACTTACATACTGCGCACCGACCTCTCAGCTCCACCGTCTCAAGTTTTTCATGCTAGCGTGTCAATGTTTTTTTTACGTGTTTTAACCTTTTCAATGTTTGTGTACTATAATATGCTTTTACCTATCTTATACCTCGGTTGCATATTGTATATGAATGACTGTGGTTTAAAAGCCAGTCATGTATTGGATACCACAAAGACCCGCAATAAACAAATTATGGTAAAAAAAACACTTTATTCTTCCACATAACTTTGGGTTATGCCTGCCTTCCACCCTATGCCTGAACTACAGGACTCCAAAATGAGAGGCCTGTTTCAGCACAAGATATTATGGAATATTAATCCATGACGCATGGCAGTTGAGTCGTAGACATCTGTGAGCAGAGCTTCCAACATTTGCTGTCACTGCAGAATATTCTGCCACAGGATGGCATAACAGATTTTCATGATCCCTATGGTTTTGCTACTTACTCAATGTGGCTCACCAAACAATTGAATTGTGGCACGTTTTTTTTTCTGGCAGGGATGTATCGGGAGGTGCAATAGCATGAATTGGTGAGTTACTACCCTACATAATATTTTAGAAACACATTAGTATGGTATTTTCAAGTGGCTTTCCAGTGAAAAATGATTCACACAGATGAAAGGCAGTAGCTGCATTTTGCTGGCCAGCAAAATATTCTGCTGGGGTGATTCACAAAATACTTTGCCATCAGGGCCCTGTTTCACCGGTGATAGCAGCACACTACTATCAAATTGCGCGAGCTGACGTAATGTGATGAGGTCACACTAATGACGTTCCGTGTAATCTGTGAGCTGCGTTTGGAACAGAGTTGCTGTCTCGTTGAATTGCGTTAGATGCATTTGTTTGATCGCACGACCGTGAAGATGCTAGCAGCAATATTTGATGACATCACGCAGATTGACGGTGTCATGGTTTGTTGATGTTTCCATGGAAACCCAATTTGACACGTGTAATAGCAGCGTGCTGCTATCACCAGTGAAACAGGGCCCTGATGTCTACATCATCAGACATGTGATGTCACACTCGGCAGAATCAGAATGGAATAGGTATTCTGGCGGTGCTGAAATTGAAAAGAAAAGAACACATCTTTCTAGACTGGAAGCTGAAGTGATTTATCAACACCACAGTGAAAATAAGCATATGTTTGGTAAAACACACAACATTCAGAAGAAAAATAATACCCAACCAAGTGCTGCACAATGTCATCTTACCGTCTAATCCAATGCAAATCCCAAGCAAATCCTATAAATTCACCAAATTAAGTCGAACCAACACCTACAGTAATAATCCCTATTCAAGAAGCAGGGTGATATATTATGTATTACTTGGTATTAAATTAAGTAGTTTTATTGCTCGCGCAATCTATCAAGCAATCAGCGAAGAGTATTGCCTTAAGTATCAAGATGAGATCTGCAGGTGGATGCTTTCGAACACCACACTAATTTTTGAATTGGTTGCGCCATTTATGTACTCAAAATTGTCCGTGAAATAGATGTTGTATATGGATTTCGACACAGGACTTTCAAATTAGCGAATATCCCTGTTCTGTGATATTCTTTCTTTTTGATTGCTTGTAATTTCCATACCCTACATCCCATAATACGAAAAATACCACATAAATAAGCATCCTAAAAGCATCCTAAAATACATAGGTAGGTGGTACCTACATCGTACAGTAGGTACTCAACTCAAGGGATCTAAAATCTAGGGCAGCTCCTTTCACTTCATGATTGATTATAGAGACGGAAAGTACGCAGTGTCAAAAAATGTTTTTTTCGGATTCCTTGCCTTTAGTTCAGCATTTTCTTCAAGTTTTTTTTTTGTAAATAATTTTATAGTGGAACTTCATTTCAATCCATACCTAACTCATGCCAATTTAACGGACTCTAGCCGAGGCTCTTAATTATCCCGACCTTGATAGTATACTTTCTGAAAAAAGTTTCGAGAGGGTCTGCGCCGCGACCCCACCTTTTTCTTAAATTTTGCTGCTAGGGGCTGAAGCGTCGTTCTCGCTTACTGAGCCAGAAGAAAAAGGTACTTCCGATCCTTATCACATGGTGATTTTGATATTTGGTTGACAGATATAACTTGATAGGTTCTATAAGCAATGCAATGTTCAGTGCGCATTATTTGTCTACAATTATTTGATATCGGTAGGCGGAAATATGGTCAAGCGTGCACATTTTTGGGAACGCATTTCATTCCAATGTTTGGGAACAATAAACCCAAATATGGGAACGTCATGTAGGCATTATTTAAAACAAGAAGGAGAATCGTTAAATGACGTCCAAAAAGTATAAAACGATCGTGAACCGCCTGATATTTGCCTGAATATTGTTGGGAAAGAGTTTGATATTGTAAGGCCCATCGTAGCTTCAAATTGTTCCCCTATTTCTAAAGCAGTCCACCACTGCCACCCGACCCCCGGGCGGCGTGCCCAAATTTGGGAACGCTCGTATACTGGCACTGCAAGCGTTCCTTATTATGGGAACGGCGTACCCAAAATTGGGAATGATTTCACCGACGCCTTTCATGAGCTCTTTTCACTAACAAGAATCATGCGAAGCAATTTGCCCTGGACCGTAGAGATGTGCATGACTCATGGATGGATCTGATTGATGGATCTATGATCTCGGTGGATCTTGAAGCTAACTGCGGGCTACGATCTATGATCCCACTAGATTCAGTGTGAGAAATGTATCCTGGATCTATGAGCTTATGGGATCTGATGATAAGCCAAGGACATGTATCTTTTATCTGAGTGAAACCTACCATGCACAACATTTGAAACTAGGTTTCCAAGTGTTTCTATGTCAATAAGTGCCACCAAACTATGGATTGGGACCAGGGATGCGGAGCCGTGGAAATTTCAGACGGCTCCGGCTCCGGAGAAAAAAAATCGGCTCCGGCTCCGGCTCCGGGTGAAATGTCATGGCGGCTCCGGCTCCGGCTCCGAGTAAAATGATCCGGCTCCGGCGGCTTCGGCTCCGGCGGCTCCGGCTCCGGCTTCTACTCACTCAGTACATCCCCTAAGCGATCAATTAAATACGGGTGGAAGAAAAAAGGCGATGGGATTGGTACACGTTGCTTCTGTATTTGTATAACAAGGCTATTGTGAATACCACATTGTTTTACGCCTTGTACTGTCAAACCGAACTAAGTAAATAATTGTTTCCGGAGCCGGAGTCGCCCCCTTTTTTGACGGCTCCGGCTCCGGCTCCGGGCTATATTGTTTCACGGCTCCGGCTCCGGGCAAAATATGCCGGCTCCGGCGGCTCCGGCTCCGGCTCCGGCTCCGGCTCCGCATCCCTGATTGGGACGTATGCACAGTGTCAGAAAAGTGGCCCGCTTCTCAATTTTCCTGCACTTGGAAATTTTGTTCTGTGGAGATTTAAACTACTAAAAATGATAATTTTTATTCTGCTGCTGCATTTTATCACAACAAATGCTTCTAAAAGCACACACAGAACACAACAATCAATCAACTAGTGATTCTTGGTTGGTGACTGAATGGTTCTTTGTCAGCAAAACTGCCAAAAGTTCGTTTTAGAGCAATGTGCTCCAATATTCACAACATTTTCATCCGCCAGTCGGAAGAAATTTGTTCTTTGAACTTAGATCGTCAAACCACTTTTCTCACACTGCGTATGCAACACCCCAGAAAAAAATGTACAATCACATAAAATCACTAAAACAGAACGTTTTTGAGTTGTTACAACTTACAAGTGATTTTTTTCTGTGTATACAAAAATAAATGAGTATCTATGATCTCAGTGGATCTCAAGCAAAAAATTAGACTCGGATCCATGATCCCTACACTCTTGATAAATTAAAGATTGGATTTATGATCCCGTCAGATTCGAGATCAGGATCCGTGGGATCAGATCCAAGCTCCATTTTGCGGATCCAGGCACATGTCTGCTGGACCGAGTAGGTACTGATTCAGGACCTGGAGCCGGGAGGCGGGATTCGTAGTCCGTTCGCTCAAACCTGACACGCAGTTGGTCCATCGCCTCTGAACGCGAGGCTGCCGGCTCACACACGCGGCCGCTCGTGTATCGCCCCCAACTGATGCCTTACTGTTATATGGTATCATCATGGGTGACGTGTAAACAAATATCTAACACAACTTGTATGTGTTTTAAAGGGCTCAAACACCGAACGGCGCTCCCCCGCTGAGTCAGCACCCTGCCGGCCGGCCACACCTGAGCTGCTCGCCATGTCATCGGCGGCGGCGGCCCCCAGCCGGCCCGCGGGCGGCCTCTCACTCACCGAGAACACCGAGAACTACATCCTGGTCGACATCGGCGCCAACCTCACCAGCAAGAAGTACTCGCGCGACCTCGACTCGGTGGTGCAGCGCGCCAATAACGCCGGTACGTGGCCCCGTGCGGCCGGGAAGGGGTCACCACTCGCGAGCGGCTGGGTCTGTCAGGTGGTGATAATGGCCAGTGCAGTGTATCTCGGTGTCAGTAACCATGCCTTTTTTATTTGATGCGTTTTTACAGTATTCATCGAGATTTATCCTGCTGAGCTGCCACCTGGTGAATTAACGAATTCGATGTTGTCCATGGAGGTTTGCCTATTCATCTCCTAACCATTGCGCCTGATAACTTATGTTCTTATAGCATTTTATGAATGAGGGATGGTCTGGTGTCCCCTGAATAAAGTTTACTTGTTGGCTGCTGCTTGTTGCCCACCTTTTTTTATTCGGTGGTTGACAGTGTAATGTTTTGAATTTTGACGCGGACATGGCTAGTCACGGGGTCTGCCTTACCGTTGCAGGCGTGCAGAAGATAATGGTGACGGGTACCAGCGTTCAGGGCAGCCGTGACGCGCTGCGACTGACACGACTCTATCCCAGCGTGCTATACTGCACCGTCGGTGAGTGGTGGGACTATCACCGCTTTTTGCTAGCCATCTATTCTTTGAGCCCGCTCACTGAATGATCAGCAGACGTAACGGTAACCTATCAGGAGTTGTGTGACGACGCAGCTGTGTGGAGCGGTACCCAGACTGGCACAGCCCCCGCTGACCACCGCGGTCCCCCCCCCCCCCCTACAGGGGTGCACCCGCACGACGCCAAGTCGTGGACCGAGGAGACGGAGGGCGAGCTCAGGGAGCTGGCCGCCAACCCAGAGTGTGTGGCCATCGGCGAGTGCGGGCTCGACTTCAACCGCAACTTTTCGCCGCCGGACGTGCAGCTCGACGTGTTTCAGAAACAGGTCAGAACGGCGGAACAGCGGGGATATGGCTCTAGTTCCAACACGGTACACCCTACAGCGGCCGCAGGTGTCGTCAAGGGTAGCGTGCCTTGAGCTCGGCATCGCAGTGCCGTGAGCGGCGGCTGGTCGCCCAGACCACAGCTCTAGGTGGAACTGTCTGGGGGCCGGGGGACATTGTATAACTACGCCGGAGCGTATGTTTGACCCTGTGTGTAGTGATAGCAGACTGCATAAACAGGGCATACGCCAGTCACTGACTCTTTCCGTTGCCTGTACCGTCAGCACGTCTTGATGCTTTGCCCAACAATGGCACTTAAATACTTACAACGATCAGGCACACAAGTGAACTACTTCTATGGTCTCTTGACTCTTCGATTCTCAACTTGTCTGCTGCTCTGTGCATGTCCTGCCTGTGTTCCCCGTTCTTTGTGTGACCCGATCCCACCGCTCCTGGTACCCAGGTGGCGCTGGCCTGTGAACTGCAGAAGCCGCTGTTTGTCCACGAGCGAGAGGCGCACTCGGAGCTGGTCTCCATCCTGGAGTCGTTCGGCAAGCGCCTGCCGCCCACGGTGATCCACTGTTTCACGGGCAGCGCCGAGCACGCCGCCAAGTACCTGCAGATGGGATTCTACATCGGACTGACCGGTACGTGGCTGGACGGACAGACGCTGTCCCCGCGGTCAGACCCGAGGTGGAGCTGTCTTACAAATACATACTTGACATTACAATAGTCTCCCTGTAGGGATTTTCCACTCACACTGAGCTGACCATTGGGAATGGCAGCTGTTGATATATGAATTATTGTCTGCTTGTTTGTAGCATGGCACATACTGGGTGGAGACTTCCATTTCGCGTCTAGCTAGACGCGTCTAGCTGGACGGCGGCTGCTTCTATCTGGCGACGGCTAACTTTAGGCGCGTCTAGCTTGGAAGTCTCCGTCCAACAGTTAGACGCCAACTTGGACGTCTTCTCAGTTAGACGCCAGTTGGACGCCAGTGTAAGTTTCCACCCTAATGTCTGAATTTGATGCACGCTTCATAAGCACTCGAGCTGTTCTACAGATCTTTACGAATGGTCTCCATTGCTTGTGCCAGGTTACGTGTGGAAGGACAAGTCGGAGGACGGCGTGCGCCGCATGCTGGAGGACCAGACGATCCCCCTGGACCGGCTGCTGCTCGAGACCGACTCGCCGTTCATGTTCCCGAACGTGCGCGCCGCCAAGGTGGCCCAGCACGTCAAGGACCGGCTCTCCGAACGGTGAGTGACCGCCGCCGCCTGACTGTCGCCTCCTTTTGTCGGGTGAGATAATGTGGCACGTTTTTTTTTGTACTGTTTTGGTCTGTCACTTGTATGTTGAAACACCACTGACTGTTCGACTGTAGCGTGTTCTGGTTACGCTGCTCTCACATTGCCGTGTTTATCGCGATCCGCTGTTTTTCACCCCAGCCCAACTCCCTGTTCATTCCCGTCTGACTCGTGGGTGTCTCACCTGTGGTCTGGCAGAGCGCTGCAGTTTCTGCACCGGTACTGCACGTTCCAGCGCAACGAGCCCTGCTCGCTGGCGGCCAGCGCCGAGATGATCGCCGCCTATATGGGTCACTCCGTCTACGACGTGGCCATGAAGACCACCTACAACGCCGTCAAACTGTTCGGCCTCAGTGGCTAGCGGCAACACCCACCCGTTCGAGAGTCAATCGACTGTATCGACGTGCAACGAAACGAATGCGGGGTCCGGAAGGCCCCGCTGCGGCGGCTCCCAGGAGGCGGTGCGTTTGTGTGGCCCGCCCCTGCCGCTCGGCTCGAAGGCGCCGGTCCCCGGCCGGGCCCGGCGGCCTGCCTGTCGACTGCGAAGCGCCGCGACTCCGTGGCATAATCCCCCGTCCCAGCTGTTGGAGCTACGTGTGAGGTTTGAGTAAGTACCCACGCCCTCTCTCACTTTACCTCACGCCTCTTGAGATCTTCACTCTGCTTTTCTCGCGCCGAGCCTTATAGCGAACTGCAGCTGAATCGTTCTGGTCACCAGCAGCTCTGGTGCGATTTACGAGCACATATCCCGGAGGTCCTGGGACACACTTATAATACACTGCGCGGGTACCGAGAGTTGACACAGCTACTGCTCTTCCATTGCGGTCGGCGTGCTGCCGATCACTCGTTCCAGCTCCTCACCATGAGTTACTAAGCCGACTGTGCAGCTTTCTGTTTTCGTAGCGTCCCGTCGAGGCGTGTTGATTTGCTGTCCCGACTGGGGCGGCCGTTGGTCGTTGTCTTGTCAGTCGCTTTGACAATCGCTGCTCACAGTGGCAATGAGATTTTACTGGTGCTGCTTGTATTTATTTACGAGCAAAGTTTTACAGAGTGAGCGCCCGGCGCGACGGATTTTATGCAACATAGGTTTATAGAGCGCCGAGCGGAGCTGTAGATCTGCTTTGCTATGTTTTTAGATCGGCGCTTGTAGGGCCAAGCTTGCGGCCTTGGCTCTCCAGACGCCTTCTATATCGATAGACGAACGGTGCCAAAGAGTCGGTGTGGGTGCGCGCGTGTGGTGTGCTCTGTCGGCTGGTGCGGCGCCGACGCTCTCTCATGTGATACCATGTGCCTCATATTCCGGCGACAATACACGGAGATGAACCGGAAAGAACAGCTGCTTTTAGTGCGACTGGCACCGCGGGCTTACTGAGAGCTTGAAAACCGATGCCCGTGGTGGGGCAGACACGCCTTTCTTCACGGACGCGGAGTAGACCTTTGGTGGACTTTGCCGGCCATCGTTAGGCCGACACCCGCCCTCCAATACTTCCTTATCACGTGCAAGTTCAGTTGAGAAATCCCTCCACAATTACACACCAATCCGAGTAACGAACGCTTCGTAGGGAGGGGCAAGACCGGCGTTCTTCAGTAAGCGCCGATTGTCCTCGGAAGCGTGAAAGTTTACATGGGAATCGTTGTGATCACTCGCACGACATCCTCGCGTGCTGTCTGCTACTATTCGCAGCATTTTCCCACAGGCCGTAGTGCGCTCACCCGCTTCATCGGATCAAAGACATTATTCTAGAGTCGACTCACGACTCCAGCCTATGAATAGATGAATAAATTGACACTTGTTACCTCCGTACTTTTCCCCATCTCCGAATGTCCGCCACGCCTTTATGGCCCCTGGACACTAATATCTTCTCTCTCCAGGACCTCGTGGAATTATTTTCTGATGCCAGTCGATCACGTCTTCGATCATCCCTTAGGGTACCCAACGAACCTATCCCTTCGTCACTGTTACCGACACACTGGTCCTGGTATCTACAGACCCGTGTCCTAACATCAACAGCCTGCAGGGTGTTAGAGGCGTGGTGCGCAAGAGGACGCGGTCGTGGTCGTATGTCATCAACCGAACAGCCATCGCGCACTGCGTGAAACGTATATTTATTTTCAGGTATACACGGTAACAACAATATACAGGGTAACGTAATAACGCTATACACAGGTCGGGGCGATCCTGTACACGGGCGCTGGTGAGCGGTGGCGGGCCCCGCGGCCGACCGGTGGAGAGAGCCCTCCCTGGGCGCGACACACGGGAAGACGTACACCGAGGCCGGCCGCCGTCTGGAAGCACGCGCCGCCCGGCCGGCCGGCCGGTCCCGCGCCGCCGGCCAGTGCCGAATATCGGCACCGGGTGTCGAGCGACGTCCCCAGGGTGCGCCGAGCCGCGGCCCCCGGACGTGCGCGGCGGGCCCGACGGCCTCACAACGCGGCCAAAGAAGAAATACCACAACACGGAGCTGGCGCCGGCCGCTGGCGATGAGTGGGTAGCTGGCCGCGGGCGGGAGGCGGCGCCGGGTAACGCGGCCGGAGCTGAGGGGCAGAGAGACAGCCGGTCAGAGGAACAGCAGGTCGTAGATACAGTCTGTCAGCAATGCTGGGAGGACAGACAGGCGGGCGCAGCCTGGCATGCAGATGGAAACAGATTACTTAAAAGTCATGCTTTTTATTACTTGTGCCAACGTTAGCTCGTTCAACCCTCACGGCTGCCCGTGCTAGCTCAGTATCCCAGCCATCTGCCGCCGGCTGCCGACACTGACCTCAGCCGGGCGGCGGGGCCGGAGCGGCCGCTCGCTGCCGGGACGCCGCTACGCCAGGTCCTGCCGCAGCCACGAGGCCGGCACCCACTGCGGCTCGCGCTCCAGCGTGTTGATCTCGTGGATGAGCTGCTCGTACGCCCGGTTCAGGTCAGAGTTGATTATGACGATGTCGAAATAGTGACCGTACACTTCCTCAATTTCGCGCGCCTTCTCTATGATCTGCTTCAGTTCGTCGTCCTGGGGACAGACACGTCGTGAGGTCAGAGCAGCAAGCATTCGGTTCGACCGTAATCTCAACACGGAAGCTGAGGTGGTGATAAAAAATGTCAGTCAACGGTAATACAAAGTCACAACTTTGACATCTCTGGAAAATAAAAACAACTTTAATCCGAATTCACATATCTGAGCCAGACTATACAACCATGGACACAGAGTTTTCCTACCCCAACCGTGCTGGGAAAGTAAATCACCGCACCAAAGCTCTTGATCGCGCTGCTGCTAAGGACAGCAGCCCCAGCCCAACCACGAGCAGCGGGCCTGATTCTCTCACCCCCCCCCCCCCCCAACAGTTCCTCATTCGATTACTTCGGTTCCTTTTCCATCTGGCATCTACGTCCGTTTTTCATCTCTAAACCGTTCACTCCCGTCCCTCATCCCTGATCCGTCTTCTCCAGTGTCCCTCATCCCTCATCCGTCTACGTTAGTCCCTCGTCCATCCCCTTCCATTCATCCCGTCTCCCTCAGCCACCTACCCTGACTTGTTCGCCGGCCTTCTGTTTGAGCTGTCGCAACTTCTCCAGCGACGGCGGCGCCACGAACACGACGAACGGCTTCAGGTCGGTGGTTTTGAGGATTTTCAGGCTGTGCGGGTGCAGGTTGAGCACGCAGATCTTGCTGCTGTTGACCACGGTGCGGATGGCGCTGACACTGGTGCCGTAGTAAGCGCGCTCGTACTCGCCGTGCTCCACAAACAGCCGGTTGACGATGTCCTGCTCGAACTGCGGCCGCGAGATGAAGTGGTAGTCCTGGCCGTCCACCTCTGTGTCCTTACGGGGCCGACTCGTGTCTGGAGTGGTCGGGCGGAGAGGGAGAGGGGTCAGCCATCACACCCCACGAGAGAAAACGGCGCGGCCGGGAGCCTCCCACCAGGTGCAAGGCACGTCCGCGCGTAATCAAATGTCCCGCAAACGAGCCCGGCTCACGTCAGTGGGTAAATGTTTACACGGCATTTCCAGCGCCGCTCCGCAGCATACACAGCGCCAGATCGGATCGCCAGGGGAGATTCTGTACACAGGGTGCCGCGGAGGCAGAGTCGATCCCAGCGGAGATGATCAAGTCCAGCAGGCTAGCGCAGGAATGATAACTAGACGGGCTGAGTTGGGATATTTGTAGGCATATCCTACTCACCACATAAATTAAGCCGTAAAAAATCTAATACCTATGTCTAATCCATGAGGAATCAAAGGGACATGCGCAAGTTCAGAAGAAAAAAAGTCATTCTACGAGGTAGAGCCACATTTATTTGTCCTCTGACCTCTCCCCACAACCCGCGACATAGCCCACCAAAAGTCCGTAATAGTCCTACTCACGAGGCACGGCCGCCGAGAAGCGCTCCGTGTCCTCCATCAGCTTCTGACGCAGCTCATGGCGGCCAATGTTGGGCGGTCCGATCAGCACCACCGGACGCTTGTGGTTGGCGCGCGGGTAGTACAGGCCCACCTCCTCGTACGTGAGGATCTCGTTCGCCTCGTAATCTGCCGACGGGGACACGGCTATCGTCAGAGCGGCCAGCAGCCAGGCAGGTACGACCCTCCAGTAAAAGAGTGACTAGTCAGCCGATACGTTTTTGGGTTAATAATTCTGAATGGCACTATCACTCCAGGAAAATGACGTAATGGAAATGAGCAGATGTTTAGTACCGCCACTTAGGCAGTGTTTGTTAAAAGTCTATAGACGCATTCACCAATAAATACGGTCGATTATTGTGATGTTGGCAACTAGCCACTTAGTCCATGAAGGGCCGTACAGTGTCCCACAAATACCAGCTATCGGGAGTTGCCGGGCGTTTCACCCGTATGCTTATGGACGGTATAGAGCGAACACGGCATAGAAGGCACATTTGAGGTCAGAGGAGCACGGGAGCACAGTCGCCAGGAGTATCGTGGAAATCACTCACCATCATTGTACTCTGCATTATACATTTTCCGCTTCTTCTTATTCGTACGCTTAGCACACAGGAACTTATTCTTCTTGCCTTCCTTTCGACTGCTATCTATGATTGATTGTTTGAGTGTTTCCCTCCTGAAAGAGCAGCGTGATGTGATTGATGAATCATAAACATTGTAAACACAAGGGTAAATAAAATGCAATCACAGCAAATCGGTAAAGGATACAAATTATCACCAGCATCTAATATGGGTCATATTTTACAAAATGTATTACATGTACATCGGTTCAATACAAACAGCAAACGTCTGCAACCTTCCCACATTCACACTCCTCCGCGCCCCGCCGACCGTCGCATTGAGTCTGGAACTCTCCGCTGCCATACCCACCTTCCCTACAGGCCCACCAACCACGGCACTCACTGTGTCTGGAAGCTGAGGCTGGGTATCAGCCCGCTGAGCGGCAGGTGCAGTAGGTACTCACTGTGTCTGGATGGGCCCGCTCAGAGGCGGGTCATTACTCACTGTGTCTGGAAGCTGAGGCTGGGTATGAGCCCGCTGAGCGGCAGGTACAGTACTCACTGTGTCTGGATGGGCCCTCTCAGGGGCGGGTCAGTACTCACTGTGTCAGGATGGGCCCGCTCAGGGGCGGGTCAGTACTCACTGTGTCAGGATGGGCCCGCTCAGGGGCGGGTCAGTACTCACTGTGTCTGGAAGCTGAGGCTGGGTATGAGCCCGCTGAGCGGCAGGTCCTCGTCGCCGTCGCGCGTGGCCTGCCACCAGTCGGGGTCCTCCTGGCTGGTCACGTGCAGGATGTCGCCCTTCTGGAACGACATGCCGATCTCGCGGCACGGCATGTAGATGTCGTCCTCCGGGTCATAGTCAAAGTGCGCCTTCACGTGTAACTGGAGGCAGGGGAGGGCGGAGCGGTTAGACGAGGCGACATGCACTACACGCCCCGTAGTTGCTCACTGAATCTAACCATCAGCTGCTGCATGTTTCTCACGCTATAAATGATTCCTCAGAACCAGGAGCAAGTCAACCGAGGGTTCATAATTAATGTGTTTACACCACCAAGAGCACATCTCTCTAACCGGAGGATAATAATTTGATGTTTTAACCCTCGCCCATGTAGGGGGGGGGGTTGGTGCAACCCCCCCCCCTGAGGCTTTTCGGAAATAGTGCAAAAACGGCGGCGCCCAGCGCCGCCAAATTTTGGGTACCTTATGGGGCAAATCTTGCGCATCTTTTGATAAAAAAAAATTTGACCGGGTCATGTCAGGTCACGGAGTTATGACGTCACAAAGGGAACAGCCTCCGGCCGGATTTTCACAAACTGAGTGCCAACGCCCGAGGTTTCCTGCCGGTGGTACGGACATCGGTTGATGGATCGTGATGAAACTTCCCATGCATGTTGGGGCAAGTATTGGCTATCATATGGTATAAGAAACTTGACCGGGTCAGGTCAGGTCACGGAGATATGACGTCACAAGAGGAACAGCGTCTGGTACTATTTTTGAAAAGCGCCCGAACCACTATTTTGCTAATTCTTGTCACCTCAATGGGAATATGCAGCAATATTAGCTTCTATAGGGAGCAAATGGACCTCCCAAATCCAAAAAATACAATCAGATTTCAAAAATTTAAATTTTGATTTTTCAAATTTCTGCCGCCGACTGTGACCTTGCCGACTTCCGGCGCTCCCAACGCGCCATTTTTAGAGCTAGGGAAACGAAATACATACCAAACGATAGAGAATTGATCAAGGAACACGATAGTGAAGGTTTCAAGTCGATATCTCCCACCGTTTTGCCGCAATCGCCGCGGAAAGTTGAAAAACAGTCTATTTTTCCGAAAATTTGACCTTTGACCGGTCAAAAGTAGGTCAAATGTTGACCTACGACCAAAAAATATACCACCAATCGCGAGATCTCGGCGAGAGCAATCCGTTGGGCTTTTCCGCTAATCTCTACGACGCTCCGTTTTCAAACGCCAAGGGGGGGTCGCACCAACCCCCCCCCCTGCATGGGCGAAGGTGGCAGATCGCCGTTTACGGGCGAGGGTTAATCCTAGCCAGCTCAATTGGCCATGCCTGTTAATTGACCAATGAAGAGGGCATTCTGGCCTATCCTCCGTCACAGCCGCGCGGCGCCTTACCACTGCCTGGGGCGGTTTAGTCTTCTCGGGCTCCTCCTGCTCGTCTCTGGGCAGCGCCAGGAACACCAGGCTGCCCGTCATGCCGGCCAGGATGTCGCACACGTCATCCACCGACTTGCCCCTGTCGGAACGAGAGAGTACGTGAGCCCGTGTCACCGCACTGAGTAACAGCGGCGCGACATCACCCGGCACGTCAGGCCACTGCTGACAGCCGCGGCACCCCACAGAGCTGAGTCCCCGCGGGCGAGTGTCCCCGCTCCCCCGACCGGACCGCTCAGGTTGACACTGATGACGGCCAATCCGCGCTGACGAGCAGCTCGCGTCCGGCGAATCACGGTAAATCTCCCCATTGGGAACCATCGGAGAGATCTGCTGGCAGACAGGCAATATGGGGATCGCTGATTGGACTAGTGACCAGCCCATATCGCCAGATTACCAGAGCTCTGATGGTAGATAGAGCCCAATTCCCTCGCTGCATCGCGAGTCTCAGAGATGATTCGGAAGGGAAAACATCCCAGCAGCACCTTGTTGAGAATTAATGACAGTAACTGTGCATTCCTAACGCCGTCATCATTAATGGTATGCACATGAATATGAAGCCTAGTTGCAGAATCAGCAAACATGAAGCGGTCTGCTTTTACATTGTCTCCAGGATATAAGCCGTGGCAGCTTTGCATAGGAAATAATCATCGCCGTGAGTGAGGCGATGCCGAAAATGATGTCGTGTGCTGGCGCTATCCCGATAATAGCAGTCTCTTAGATCATAGATCACACTACAGTCATACAGAAGCTCCTGAACATGGGACTCCGATCTGCCTACGCACATTGGCTCTGCTCCTTCCTTCAGGACCGACACCAACGAGTGAAGATGCCGGATGGCAGCATTAGCACGTGGAGCCCCATAACCTGTGGGGCGCCACAAGGGACCCTAGTGGGACCAGTAGCCTTCCTGGCTATGATAAACGATGCCGCCGTCCAAGACGAAAGGAGGCTTAAATATGTAGATGATTTAACAGTCTTCCAAGCATGCTCTGTGAATCAATTTAATGAAGAATGCACCCTACAGCAAGTAACGGATAAATTGTCGGAATGGGCCAACACGAACAAGATGGTGCTGAATACAGAAAAATGTCAGATTCTTCACTTCTACACAGCCAAAAAGCCTATTATCTTACCGGATATAGACCTTAATGGCAGCAGTATACCAACAACTGACCACGCAAGATTACTTGGGATCACGATATCCGGTGACATGTCCTGGCAGAAACATGTTGATGACATTGTGTCCAAGGGATCCCGAGCCCTCTACATGCTGCATGTAATGAAGAGGTTTCGGCCGCCACAAGAGCAGTTGGTTAAGGTATATACCACATACATAAGGCCACTGCTCGAGTACTGCGCCCCTGTATTCCACGCCGGACTAACTGTTCAACAGGCTCAGAAAATAGAAAAGGTACAAAAACGGGCCGTCAAAATAATCGCCGGATACGATGAAAGCTACCAGGACATCTTACAACGCCTTAACCTGGAAACACTCGCTAATAGAAGACAGACTTTATGTTTAAGACTCGGTAAACAGATGCTCAAGTCGATAGCACATCAAGACTTATTCCCGAAATCGAGAGGCTCGATATCCGGCAGAGAAACGAGAAGTTCTAACACTCTTGAAACGTTTTGCTGTGGTACTCGCCTGAGGAGGTCATGCATTCCACATATGACCTCGCTCATTAACCTGGATATCATGTCGTCCAGATAGAATATGGCCTGTACGCTACTGTTATCGTAATTGCGCCAATGTAGTTGCATTTGTTTATTTGCAGTGCCTCAAAACTGCTGTACTGTTATCACATGCGCTATATGGGCAAATGCTCGCAGCCATGAACTAAATACACCGTATCTCTCTCTCTATCTCTCTCTCTTACGTTTCGTGCACTTCTGCCGCACGACATTGAGATCACTTCACAGAGACAGCAGTTACACATAAAGCCGAGCCACAGGGCACAGACACACAGCTGACAGTCCCACAAACATTAACACTGGCTCCACAAACAAAGATACACAGGGGCTCAGCACACTCCACAACACAGATAACGGTATCCACGCCAGCCACTGACCTCATCTCGATGCCGTTAACCTCGAGAATCTCGTCCCCTGGCCGGAGGAGGCCGGACTTGTCGGCCGCTCCTCCCTTCACGATACGACCGACCAGCACTGAGTCACCCTCGTTCTTCACGGTGGCACCCTGAGGGCGGCGAGGGAAGAGGCAAACGCGTCAGAAAGGTAAGGTTACGGCGCTTTAAGTTGGCATGACAACATGCAAATACGGCGCTTGTAATAGATGTGTGTGCTTTGTTTAGGGAAACAGACCAATGTAGCCAAGCACATGTTGATATATACAACCTACATCTCCCTTGCTGAGCATGAGATAAGATAGACATAAATTCAGTCTGATAAAATCGCCCATCCTTGTTTCCCGCGGGACTTAGCTTCGTGTTTCTGGGTACTGAAGTCTTATGTTAACTTGCTACACATTGCATTCTAAATGCAACATGACAATGATAACTGTAAACCATCCATCAACACTCCTTTTTCCGCGAAAAGTCACTTTCAGTGAAAGCCGCCCGGGCCCCTCTTCTTGACACCTTCTCTACGGACTCCATTCCACCGTCATACAGCCGCCGCTAACCCGGGATGCACAGACAGGGCAGGGGTGGCAATATACCGCTCAGTGGCAGGGCAGGGGCCGTCGCTCAGTCAGTGTGTCGGCCCTTACCAGCGGCTCGTTGGTCTTCTCCAGCCGTATGACGCGTACTCGCGGGTCGGTGTAGTGGTGCACGCGCTCGGCGTAGTCGTCCAGCGCCGGCGCCGGCTCCGGCTCTCCAGAGTCGGCCGGTGAGCCGCGCGCCGCGATCTGGTCGTGCGAGTAGAGCAGGCCCTCCATGTCGAAGCGCGTCAGCAGGTCCACCAGCTCGACGGCCTCGGGGGAGGAGGATTCCTGCAGGACGCCGACCACCTGCCGCGGCGGAGGGGCGGAGAGTGAGCCGCACAGACACAGACACAGAGGCTCAGGGTGGGCCGCAGATTCACAGCGACTGCACACAGGGTGAGCCTCACGGCCACGGACGCAGAGGCACGGGAGGGGCAGAACAGAGCGAGCAGTGGCGATAAAGTCCCAATGACAAATCTATCTACAATTCAAATGCAGTAGGGATTCCCGCTGGGGTTAGAAAAGATCATTGCAGGTCACATGATTCATACGCTGCACAGGTGTGAATATACAGCTGACAAGTACAATGAGATCATTGCGCCATTTAGAAATGAGTCATATCTCTTGAACACCTTTGTCTCATTAGCTCCTCCCATGTCTTATTCGCTTGTCCTTTATCTCACCAATCCCTTCATTATCTCGGGAGCACTTCCCTCGTCTCAGTAGACCCTCCCTTGTCATGCCAGACCGCGCCAACCCGTCGCTCACCTCCTGCGCCACGTCCTGGGCGTTGAAGCAGAGCGCCGACGGCGGGGCGTTGAAGCACCAGATCTCCTGCACCTTGTTGTGCACGGCCAGCACGCGCTGGAACTCTGGCGATGTGAGCAGCGACTGAGCGACGGCCAGCTCCTGCTGCAGGCCGGCGCCGCTCGCCTTCAGCGCCCGCTGGATCTGCTTCAGCGAGGCCAGCAGCTCGGCCAGCTCTGCGGCGGTGGAGGCGGCGGCGGCCGTTAGCCGGGGACGGGGGCCGGCCGCGGCGCCGGCGGCCACCACCTGGGCGCGCTGCCGGCCCGAGTTGAGCCGGTTCACCTGACTCGGCTGCCGGGGACTGGTGGACGGCGCCGCCGCCGGGGAGGCGGTGCCGACCGGGGGGACGCCCACGCCCGACGGGTACAGCTTGTTCAGGATGGTGGTTTCGAGGCTTAGGTTAGACACGTTTAGCTGGGAGTCGTCTGAAAGAAAACAGAAAGAAAACAGAACCGTAAGAACCCAGCAGAGCAGAGATTTGGTGCCAGGAGCAAAACAAAAGCAAAAGCTGGGCGAATCACAAAGCAGGCACCGAATGCAACCGAAAACAGAGGGGCTTGATTACACCATAAGTAAACACAAAAAACATGAACCAAATATAAACAAACAAACATGTGCATGACACCGAAAGGGTAGTGCAATCTTATACTGGGAGATGTCTAAAAATGCCGCGATGGGGATGCGTTTCTTCAGCGTTGTGCAAAGGAAATATAGTCGGTAGTTTCGATTCGAACTAAGGTAACCGTTTACCGTTTAAAACACAGCGAACATAAAACCGTCCTAAATCTATGAAGGTGCTTTACAATGACACCCGTTATGAAACAGCGAGGTTAGGGAAATTTCTGGAACGTCTATTCCAGGTGAAAATGAATGACAAGCAAGTACCCATTGCCGAAAAAGTGAAGTGCAAATGCAACGCTGTGCAATGATTAAAAGCGCATGCGTGAATTAGCTAGCTATAGGACAGAAAAGGTAGGCGCATGGATGGCGAAATGTCGGAAATTTACCAGGAAAATACAGACGGTAGGGATAGGAGGATATTAATGATTACCAATGAAAAGGAACCATTGTTGGCATAACTTATTCTGAGTGGCAGTGTTACTGAAAATTGTTCTTCTGCTCCTTTCATTATTTCCCATCTCATGAGCAAAGGGACGATCCGCTTCACACAAATACAAATAATGTTACCGATCCGCTTCACACAAATACAGATCATGTTACCTTCTTAACAAAATAATAATATCAAACGTCAAAGAACATCAAACATAACCCTCGCCGGCACAGGGGGGTTGATGCAACCCCCCCTAAGGTTTTTCGCGAATAACGCGCGCAAAAAGCGGCCAATCGCAACGAAACTTTCAGTATCCTCGCATTGATCAATTTTACACCTACCCTGAAAATTTCATGACCCTGACCCAAATGACCTTTGACCTGTGACCTCTTTTCCGAGACCATGTTTGGCCCGAATCGCGATTCGAAGTATGTCGGCTCGCATTAGCCGCGCGTTTGCAAGCTTTTCGTGGTTTCAAACGTTCAAACATGTGATTTGATGTTGCTTTTGCTCCCATACATTAGGGTGGGTGTCAAGGTCACCTGAAGGTCAGGTCAGGTCATTGACCTTTGGTGACCTCGGGTGACCTCGGCTCACTTTTTGGAGTTTTACATGTTTCTAGTTTAGTTTTTGAAGCTGAATTCGAATTTAGCAACCATTTGAACATTTGCGAAGTAGTTTTGGTGCCTTCGTAACATGTTACGAGGCTATCAGAGGCGGTTGACACGTATTACGAATACCCGTCACAACCCCCACCGGTTGACCTGACCTGACCTGACCCGACCTGGTCTAAATGCTTAAAGACATCATCTCTGATCAAAACTAGCACGATACTCGTGATCAGCACCCCGGAAAACCACATAGCAGCCACACTTTACGACTTTCTAACAGGTCCCGATTTTCCCGGTTTTCGGGTCATTGACCTGACCTAGAAGGTCACCCGATGACCTAGGACCTTAAAATTGGGTATCATCGGCTTCCTCTCGTGACGGGCAACACGCTCGTTTTTTCCGCGAAGCTCTAGCTCGATCAGGGGCCAAACGCGAGGGGGGGGGGTCGTAACAACCCCCCCCCCCTTGTGCCGTCGAAGGACGCAAAATGGCCTTTGCCGGCGAGGGATAAGGAAGACCAATAAAGACATAACGCCCAAGAGGCCTAAACATCGCTCTCCCACACATAGCGCAAATACAAAAAACCACACAGAAAGACGGGAAAACGTCAGACATTGTCGAAACGTGGGTACCGATAAATACAAGAAATTGACTTCAGGTGGTCTAAATGGAAGAAGTTACAGCAATTATAGTACAAATAATAGACGGGTACAAGGCCAACAGCCCACAACTCCGTCCCGTCAGACAACAGACAGTCGTTAGTAGCAACCATTTCCATATAAATAATAGACCGATTTTATGGGCAATGTATGATTTATATATAAATAATAGACCGATTTTATGGGCAATGTATAATTTATGAAGCAAAAACAAAGCCGAGGTTAAATAACAAAGCCCTTTGCCCATCTTTAATTTCCCTCTCGTAGCCCATCCACCCGCTCTGAGAAACTCAGACCAAGCTGACAGCCGTGGCATTCGTGTACCTAGCAGTCACAGAGTGAGATCGATTCACTGCAGAGAACTGTTACAAGTAGGTATAAATTGTCTTCACCATACACGGACCAGAGTACCTAGCGGCACGCGGAGGATTTGGGTGACAGAGACGTGTCCGAGGTCCCTGGCACCCCTCCGTCTCTCCGGGCGCGGAGAGCAGCACGCCGCTAATTTGTTCCCCAGGGACCCTTCAGACGGCCACTGAGATCGATGGTATGGTAACGATCGTCGCCTACCCGGCCGTGTCCTCCCGGCCGCCGGGGGAGGGACAGCGACCACTGCCCAGTCGGTTACCACCGGAGGAGGGGCAGGACCCAGCCGGTTACTACCGAGACGGACGGGACCCGGTCGGTAACCAGGGGCCAGTGCTCCACGCAGCCACCGACGGCGAGCCTGCGCCCATGCTACCGAGCTGAGGTCGAAGTGAATGTCACGAAGTAGACAAGGAGGCACGCTGCTCGTCCAGTGCCCTGTCCTGTCCGGTGTCCGGTGAGCGTAATAAGCTCCGGAGCAGTGTCCTGCAGTCAGCTCTGCCGAGAGCGGACGAAAAATATTAGGCTAGCCGCGATGGCACAACCTTTCCAAACGTTTTTAAGGCGTCCGTCTTTCCGAATCCAATAGACTCCAGAGAAAAAACTCTGCAGATAATAAAAGAACAGTCACATCATTCCCATCGACCAGTGAGCAGGCAGAAATCAAAGTCGCTCAGTCATCGAATGCTGAACCACGGGCGGCGCGGTAGCTGACGGTCGAAAGGAGCGACCGATGACGGTCCAAAGCCACGACCGATGACGGTCGAAAGACGCGGCCGCCGGCCCGAGGACAGGACGACGGCACTGTCCGCGGCCGACGGAGGCCGGCGAACGGAGAGCCGAGAGCAGGGAGAGGGCAGGAGGTGGCCGGATCGATCACCTCCACTTCGAAGGGCCACTTTTGCACGGCCCGGAGACCGGCGTCGGTTCCCACTCCGCACACCACTCGGCACTCGAGCCTCCTCTCTCCGGATCGTCGAGGTCTCTCAATGTAAAGAGAGCACTTACATTGTTCTCTTTCGTTCTCTATCGACAGGCTATTCTCGTCGCTGAGATTGGTTTACAGTTTTACCCTCTTCCATTCGCTGCGTAGTTTCATTGCAATATTATGCAACCAGGCCCGGTCCATAAAATGTTCTTTCTTTTCATACGACCTCTATTCGCTCCCCACTCGCTTTTCAATCATTTATGTCGCAAAATCTAACCCTGTCAAGTAAGGAGGGGTGGGTGGACGATAAAGGAGAGGAAAGGAAAATCAAGAAGAAGAGGAAAAAGAGGATGAGGGAGAATGTGAGGAAGAGAGAAAGGGAGAGGTTACGGGTGAGCGAAAGGAAAGGGGAGGGGATAGAGAGGGAGAGAGGGAGAGGGAGTGGGAGCGAGTGAAAAAGGAGTGAGAGGGAAATACATGAGTGGAAGAGAGGGGAAGGAAAGGGAGAGAGGAGGGCGAGAGAGGTAGGTAGTGGGAAAGGGAGGGAAGAAGGAAGGCGAGAGAGGTAGAGGTAGAGGTAGAGGTAGAGGTAGAGGTAGAGGTAGAGGTAGAGAGAGAGAGGAGAGAGAGAGAGAGAGAGAGAGAGAGAGAGAGGGAGGGAGAGCTCGGGGTCAATCGATGCTCCTCGACCGGCCGCTTCAGTTGGATGGCCATCGACCCTCCCCCTCCCAGTCCCAGCTCTGCCGGCGTTCGTTCGTTCGGTGCAGGTGAGGCCCGGCCTCTCTCCCCGCGGGAGCCGGCCCAGCCCGGCCGGCCGGCCGCCCGGGCCGCCAGCGCCGGCACGCTCACGACATGGCCTGGGGTGCCGCGCCGAGATGAGCCGATGGCCGCCGCCGCCGCCGCCGCCGCCGCCCGGGAACGTGAGCGGCGGCGGCGGCGGCGGCGAGGCGCGCCCACACAGGTGGGCAGGGCAGCGCCCGTCACTCGGCAATGAGAGCGGACACGGCGCGCGACATACAACTCGGACATATTCTCACCTTCCTCTACTGCAACGATTCGCACTGGATCAATAATCTATCGGATCGAGAATCACATCGTCCCGTGATCGAGAATTTGACCAATATAATAGCGCAGCGTGTACCTAGAACGCAGCTGTCGTCAGTTTGCGAGCTTATTGTTTCAAGACGCACCCACCCATACTGAATGTGAAGTTAAACGTGGAGAGTATAGTGGCTGAACGGTTCTCTCCCACGAGCCCCTGGTCTCCACAGAAACGTATCAGACGGAAGGAGTGGCGCGGATCAACGCTTGAAATAGTGGTAGAACGGAGAGCTCAGGGCACAGGACGGCACAGGTTGGGGCCAGTGTGAGGGTTGGGACGGCTGCAGATATGTTTGGGGTGAATCGTGCCACAGCGAATTGGACGGCTAGAGTAAGCTGTGGCACATCGAAAGCTAAATTGGAGGGGCGGAGCCGGGCGGCCGACCGGCACGTGGAAGGGGGAGGGGGCGGGTGGGGCGCCCCACCCTCCCCAAACACAGATCCCAGGGCCGTCGGTGCCGCTGCCCCGACAGGCCGCCATACAAACAAGAGCCATATTGGCGCCAGGTATCGAAGTGTATGAATTGTAATGCTAGTGGTATTCTTACCGACATCACTTAGGGATTGGGAAGATAGTGCAGAGACAAAACGACACTGTCAGTCGCTTACCTACAGGACAACATAGCAGCGTTTTCACTTCTAGTCTGGACAGCTCAGAGTTTCCGGCGACCAGGCCTGGCGTCGCCACACTTACCTCAGCCGGACTGTG